AAGCCTATTTTTTCTGTTGTTCAATACTGAAGAAATTTAAACTTTATATGCAGAACATTGTAGAATATTTTTAAGGTTATCTGCTATAAAAAGCCAGACCAGGAAAATCTCCTTCATGTTTTTCTGTGTTTTATTCTCAGTTACTTTCACACAAAGGCATCTGCTGTGATGTTCACAATTCTGAAGAAGTCAGTACTGATAAATGATCAGAATTATAATATTTCTGACTGTCTGAGGCTAAGTTGAATCGAATCGGGACTTTGAAAACCAGAATCGAATGGATTATAGAAGTGCAGAATTATTAGGCAAATGAGTATTTTGTCCACATCATCCTCTTCATGCATGTTGTCTTACTCCAAGCTGTATAGGCTCGAAAGCCTACTACCAATTAAGCATATTAGGTGATGTGCATCTCTGTAATGAGAAGGGGTGTGGTCTAATGACATCAACACCCTATATCAGGTGTGCATAATTATTAGGCAACGTCCTTTCCTTTGGCAAAATGGGTCAAAAGAAGGACTTGACAGGCTCAGAAAAGTCAAAAATAGTGAGATATCTTGCAGAGGGATGCAGCAGTCTCAAAATTGCAAAGCTTCTGAAGCGTGATCATCGAACAATCAAGCGTTTCATTCAAAATAGCCAACAGGGTCGCAAGAAGCGTGTGGAAAAACCAAGGCGCAAAATAACTGCCCATGAACTGAGAAAAGTCAAGCGTGCAGCTGCCAAGATGCCACTTGCCACCAGTTTGGCCATATTTCAGAGCTGCAACATCACTGGAGTGCCCAAAAGCACAAGGTGTGCAATACTCAGAGACATGGCCAAGGTAAGAAAGGCTGAAAGACGACCACCACTGAACAAGACACACAAGCTGAAACGTCAAGACTGGGCCAAGAAATATCTCAAGACTGGTTTTTCTAAGGTTTTATGGACTGATGAAATGAGAGTGAGTCTTGATGGGCCAGATGGATGGGCCCGTGGCTGGATTGGTAAAGGGCAGAGAGCTCCAGTCCGACTCAGACGCCAGCAAGGTGGAGGTGGAGTACTGGTTTGGGCTGGTATCATCAAAGATGAGCTTGTGGGGCCTTTTCGGGTTGAGGATGGAGTCAAGCTCAACTCCCAGTCCTACTGCCAGTTTCTGGAAGACACCTTCTTCAAGCAGTGGTACAGGAAGAAGTCTGCATCCTTCAAGAAAAACATGATTTCCATGCAGGACAATGCTCCATCACACGCGTCCAAGTACTCCACAGCGTGGCTGGCAAGAAAGGGTATAAAAGAAGAAAAACTAATGACATGGCCTCCTTGTTCACCTGATCTGAACCCCATTGAGAACCTGTGGTCCATCATCAAATGTGAGATTTACAAGGAGGGAAAACAGTACACCTCTCTGAACAGTGTCTGGGAGGCTGTGGTTGCTGCTGCACGCAATGTTGATGGTGAACAGATCAAAACACTGACAGAATCCATGGATGGCAGGCTTTTGAGTGTCCTTGCAAAGAAAGGTGGCTATATTGGTCGCTGATTTGTTTTTGTTTTGTTTTTGAATGTCAGAAATGTATATTTGTGAATGTGGAGATGTTATATTGGTTTCACTGGTAAAAATAAATAATTGAAATGGGTATATATTTGTTTTTTGTTAAGTTGCCTAATAATTATGCACAGTAATAGTCACCTGCACACACAGATATCCCCCTAAAATAGCTAAAACTAAAAACAAACTAAAAACTACTTCCAAAAACATTCAGCTTTGATATTAATGAGTTTTTTGGGTTCATTGAGAACATGGTTGTTGTTCAATAATAAATTATTCCTCAAAAATACAACTTGCCTAATAATTCTGCACTCCCTGTAGAAATCAGTGATGATACCCAGCCCTAGTGAGCAGCCTAGGCACGACAGAAGTGGATGTAGCTGTAATAGGAAAAGAACTATTGCTAACTTTTCTGTTAAGTTAAGGCCTGATCCTTCTGAAATTCATAGCCAGTGCTCTGACACGGTGTCATCAATCTTTGAATGCTGAAAAAGCACAGTGTATCCAGAAAAACACATTATATTATATAAATTATTATAAAATTTGTGTGCGCCTAACTTTTGTGCCGGTACGCCTAACTTTTTAAAGTTAGGCGTACGTACCAGTACGCCCATGGCAAAAAGTTAGTCTAGAGCCCTGATCTATACATACATTCATCCATCCACCCATCCATCCATCCATCCATCCATCCATCCCATCCATCCATCCATCCATCCATCCATCCATCCATCCATCCATCATCCATCCATCCATCCATCCATCCATCCATCCATCCATCCTCCATCCATCATCATCCACCCATCCATCCATTCCATCCATCCATCCATCCATCCATCCATCCCATCCATCCATCCATCATCATCCATCTCCACCATCCATCATCCATCCATCCATCACATCCATCCATCCATCCATCCATCCAGCCATCCATCCATCCATCCATCCATCCATCCATCCATCCATCCATCCTCCGCCATTCCGTCCATCCATCCATCCGTCCATCCGTCCGTCCATCCATCATCCACCCATCCACTCATCCATCCATCCATCCATCCATCCATCCATCCATCCATAATAGCTGTTTCCATTAATGTGACTGTATGCAGTGAGCTACTGAGCTACTTTGTTAACCAAAGTGTGAGATTTGAAAACATCACTGCGTCTATGTAGAGTTTTACAGATAGTTAGGACTGGGGTCAAAGTTCACATGAGCAGGAGTTCTCCCTGTCCAGTTCCAGTTCTGTGTTTAACTGTGAGTTAACCTGCATCAGCTCATTTTAGGCTAACCTAAGCTCTATTTAGACTGTTTTAGAGGCGCTCAGTAACAGCCTAATGAGTTTGACAGAATGATAACGCTGAAAACAAAGCATCACTTTCACTGGTTTACAGAAACATTCAGATTCACAGTCTGGTGTGAAATCAGAGCTTGAAACAAAGAACAAAGAAACTCATCCTCACATTCAGTCACACAGGAGGTGAAAGGGTAAAACCTTCAAGATCTCACTAGTACTGTGGAAATTCCAATCTCTCTCTTTGTGTCTGTCTCCTGAATCCAAACTGGAAGCTGGTTCCACAGAAGAGGGGCCTGAAAACTGAAGGCTCTGCCTCCCATTCTACTTTTAAATACTCTAGTGTCCATAAGTTTGTGGTAGAGGCGAGTGGATCGATCCAAACACCAATAGCAGCTGTGGTACTGATATCTGATTAATAATTGCAATATAAGATCGACACTTTATTTCTAACCTCCAAGTTCAGTATGTGGCCCAACTAAATAAATTATCTTTTTGGAAATGAGAAGATATACTTCAACCATGCTCTATGAAAAACATCTGAACCTTTTTGTGTTGTCACGTCGATTTGATTTGCCGCCTACGGCACATTCAAACATCACATGACAGGCACATTTACATCCCTGCTGTCCAAAAAAAAAAACACTTTCAAAATACATGCAAGTAAAACTGACAGTGAAATTACAAATTGATGATTCATCTCATAAATCACGACACAGTGCTCTCAGCTACATAAGCTGCCTTCACAAGTTACAAATATTGGTATCAGAATGGGATTGGCAGTACCGGCCCTGTATTTACCCATATGGAACAGATACATATAAATCTTATAAAGTTTGTATCTGTCTTATGTGAAACTTGTATGAAAAGCATACAAGAGTTAAAACAGATATAAGATACCTTGAAAAATTATATAAATGCAACTTGTATGTTTTGGATACTTACTAAAACAATATATGAAAGTAATGAGAAAGTGGCCACTTTCATGACTAAATCATATAAGCTTGATATGATTCACTATATGAATGAGTTTTTACTGTTTCTTTTCCATATGGGTACTTGGTATCAGATCGATATTAAAATCTGCAGTATTGCACAGGAGTTTGCAGTACTTAAGCATCTAGCTAGCCCTACAGAAGAGGAGAGAACATAAAGGGAGTGAAGTTTTTTAAGTGTCGGGTAATTTGAAATGCAGCATTTCTATCAGCTCAACAAACATCAGCAAACACAAACTGTGTGTGTGCAGTTTGTCTCACAGTGTGCTGCAGCTAAAGGTCCAGCTGCTGTATTTGACAGGGAGAGAAAAGACACAGAGCTACGTTCACTCAGAGATGGAGACAGATAAGAAAGAAGGACAGGAGAGGACGAAGAGAGCTTAGAGTTAAAGGAAGGAGGCTCAGTGGAATTTGATAAACTGGAAATTTAAAGATGCCATGTTCCTGCAAAACAAAGAAAGCTATGCTAACTTTGTGTTATTCAAGTATTCCATGAAAATCCTGTTTAGTATTTCAATGCAGGATAAACATGTGGTGGATTCAGAGTACAGTCACACACAGTGCCCGTGGTGCTCATGGTCCCAGGCAGGTAACAACAGGTGTAGCAGAGATGAGTTTACATGTAAGTTGATGATGCTGAGGTTCATCCCCACTTGCTGAATCCACTGTGACCCCTGACTGTGCTCATGTTACTGTGTAGGTGTGGAGGTGAAGTCACCCTCCACCATCAAGGCAACACAATCGGTTTTACATTCTCTGTCACTGCAGGTGTCCTACACAACAGACTCGTGCTGAGTACATTCATTACAATTAGAATGTGCTTTTGTGTTGAAATACTAACAAAGCACAAGGTTCAGTTACTTGTATACAAACATGGTTAGTAGCAGAGTACTTTTTCACTTTTACTTGAGTAAAGGAGTTTCTTCATTACTTCACGTTTTACTGGAGTACTTTTAAACACAGGTATCTGTACTTCTACTTAAGTAAAGAAAGTCTCCTGTAGGTGTGAGGAGCTCCATCAGGGTAGATGAACGAACAGCACCGTCCACATACTTCTGCACAACTTGAAACTTCTTCTTCTCTGGTTTAATTGCTGTTTTCACGCTGTGACGTCACGTTAGAGCAGCCGCAGCGTTGAAAAAGCTCAGTCCTTCATCCTGAGCTCTCATCATCGTCATGATGTTCAGCCCCTCCTCTCCAGGTTTGTGGCTGAAGGTGACGTGAGTCACTCGGATCACCTTCCAGGTAGCCTCGTCACCTGCTTCTCATTCTGCTGCTTCGTCACGGTGACGTCAGCACGCAGGACGTGAGGGGGATTTAAAGGAGGAGGGGGGGCCGGGATTCCTGAGGATTACCCGTCATGCCCCGCGGGTAAAGATGGCGACAGCTAAGCAGGGCAGCGGATCAACTTTCTTGGAGCGGCTCTGAGCGGATTTCCTTCCGCGGACGGAGCGTCTTAGCCGGCCTCAACCCGACCCACTGCCCGGAGCTCCAGCGCGGACCTCGGCGCTGCTGTCCGGCCTCGGATCGGTCCGGAGCCCCCTCCCTTGGCTCTCCTGCTCCTCCGGAGGAGCGGAGCGGAGCTCGGACAAAGTTTCCTCTCCTCCCCGGGACCGAGCGGCGCGGACGGGGCCTCAGGTAAGTTCGCGCCGGGCGGGGTGGGGGTGTCCCTGGTGCGGGTCTTCATGACGAGCCGCGCGGCTCGCGGAGCGCGGAACTGGGCCATGGTGGGCCGGTTCGCGTCGATTTGACGGCCTGCCCGCGGGGGGAGGGGGGTCGTGTTTGTGCCTGTCAGACAGAGCCGAGGGCGTACAGCCGCGCCCCCAGTAGCCAATCACAGGACGACCAGGACGACCCTAGAACGGGGGGCCCAGGCCCTCAGCGAGGCCCCCAGCAGTTTCAATTGCAACTTTATTGATGCTCAGCAGGAAATGTCAAAATAAAAGCCTGTCAATGTTCAATCAAAAGTTTCATTAGAGCTTTATGACGACATGACAACGATAAAAAGAATGAATCCTGATTTTAAAAGTTCAGCAGAGACTTCTGAGCCGGCGATGGCGGTAAACCCAAAATGTCTCCGCTGTTCAAACACGTCACTGATTTCACTGATCTGAGCTCAGTTACAAGACAAAGCAAACCGGCTTCAGTGAGTTAGCATGTAACAGCCAGAGGTGGGAGTTACCGCACAACACGACGTTATCGCGATACTTCGCTCACCACTCGACGTTATTGTGTCGAATTGAATCAGGTTATCAAAATTCATCTTTGTTGATTTGTTTGATCCACAACGATCGCATTTGTCCCGCATCAGGTTTTTTCTCTAAAAGACTGACGGTGGCGTCTGATGTGACTGAACAGGCTCCAGTTATTTCATCGGCGCCGAGTTCTGAAGAAATGAACGGTCTCCAGTTTTTATGGAAGTTTAATTTGAATGCAGAGACAGAATATCAACAAAAACGCGTCACGGTTTTTCGTTTGAGCCAATTTAAAATAAGTTTAATGTTTTTTCACAGTGGTCATGCTATTTAATAAATTATTGATATGTGGTGGTCCTGTGAGAATGGCGAGGGCCAGCAGCTCTGACCATGCCCCAGCTGAGATACATACATGTCCTTCATTCACACTTCCCAGCAGTCCCCACAAACATACAGTAATTACTAATAAACAAAGAGTAAAAACATGAGCGACTCCAACATTAACTTGTGAACAGTTGGCTGACAGACGCGTGTCCATCACACTGTGGTGATGGAAACGTATGCCCTTTCTCAATTCTCAAGTACGCGAGTCCGCGCTCGCGTTCTCGGCGAGTCAATTGTACAACTGGAACACCAGCGTACTCGATGATGTCACAGGTCAGAGTTTTTACTGCCGTCGCCTCTTAATTTAACTGTGATTAATATGTTATGAAGCTTAACTTTGATCTCAGCCAAACTGATTTACTCAGGAACAAATAAAACACTGAAATGATGATGATGATCTAAGAGACTTATACATCATGTTTAACCTCAGTAGTGAAAGACTGCGGGTGCTTTGAAAATGATGTGCTGGGAGTCCGCTGTTCTCGCCGGCTCTAGTGACTCTTGACCTCCCAGTCAGCTATCAAGCTGGTCACAGACGTCTCTGAAAACATCGGAGCACTTTTGCAAATATGTGGTGTCTTGATAAATCGAGCACATATTTGAAGTTTACACAGCTACATCCTCACCTGAAAATATTTTGAAAGTTTATTTTGTGACCCAGAAAGAGTAAGACTTTAAAGGTTTTAGCCGCGCTCCTCCATTGCCGCGTTTGAGTTTTGGACGAAATGCATTCTGGGATATTTAGCTGTACCAAGTCCACACGAGTCACCACCGATGCATGCTCGATAAAACGGGCGGAGCGAGAACACATCTGGGAATTTTTCTCAGCTTGATGCTTTGAATTTGAACAGTACTTGGTCTCCGACTGACGACAGATCACGAGAACGCAAGTACGCACCAATACGCATATTGAGACAGGCCCATAATCTAACCAACGTTACATTTCTTGCATTAATATGTGAGATGTTTAAATTTTAAATACTGAGGGGACAGTAACCATGGAAACTCTCAGCAGAGGCAAAAACAACACATGCAGTGGAAGAAGAGAAGTTCTGTGTAATAATGAGAAATGACAGGAAACGTCTCGATTACATGAAGAGAGGGAGGTGCACAACATCGGAGGGTCAGGAGCTGAACGCCAGCCTGTGTCACACATCAGACGCCTGATGATGCTGAAACTGCAGCACCTTTAGACAAACATCCAGTGTTCAGCTTCGCTGTCTTTCCATTTCAGGTCGCCACAAACACACAGACAGTGCGAATAAGTATATAGAAGAGAGATTCTACTGGCTCCACTACATTTGTCTGACTGACTGTCGGGGTAAAATAAATTCATAACCTGTGATCAGCTGCATGTTTCTGATAGAGTCATGTCGTGTCACCGTTTTAAGGTGGAGCTTTAAATGGGCTCGTTTTTCATCCCCAAACAGAAAGTAAACACAAACACTTCCAGCTGTGTTTCTTGGTTACAATCAGGCATTTTTATACACATTTACATGTATATGATTGGTGCTCCTTATTTGTATAGTTACTCTTTTATCAGGAGTACCATCACCGGAAACTACTCTGATATACTTTTTATTGTTGCTCAGCACCCGTCAGACAGCCTTCAGCCGGCTTGTCCGTTTGTAACCCGAGGGAATCTGGTTTCTTCTGTGAAGCCATCAGTAGCATCATTCCTAATAGATGTATCAGTTTCTCATGTATTCCATTATCCGAGCGTATGACCGGCATATAAAGTAACGACTGTAACACTGCATCAATTCCCAGCATCCTGTTTTTGAACACGTTTCCAGAAAAGAAGTAATGGACGCCGAAATATATGTGTCAACTTCCTGATCTGCCCCCGACCACAACAATGCAAACACGTGACATCAAATATGATGTGATGCCGTACATCGGCCTGCCTCTTGATATATAAAGCATATAAACACGTGCAGCAACAACTTGGCACAAACACATCACGACCATGTCCTGACCTTTATTTTCACTCTGGTGCTCAGTAACTCTGCTCTTTGTACTTTTGACTTGAAGGACATCTCCTTCAAGTAATACACAGTACAGCTGTCTGTGACTTAGGGCTGCCACGATTACGTCAACTATCAAAATCGTCGACGACTGGTTTAATAGTTGACGCGTCGTTTGAAGCTTTGTAAGATCCTGAAAGACGCAGGAATAAGTAGCAGGATTTAAGAGTGTAATAACGGACTGAAACAGAAGATGGCAGCACTGCATGTACAAGGATGCCAGCTGCCGTTAAACCCCGAAGAAGAAGAAGCTGTGTCCGGTATCGTAGCTGTGTCCAAATTCAGGAACCGCATACTCCTCTGGCCGCATTTGTAGGCCGATTACGTTACAGCGACACGACGAAGACTGTCCACATTCGAAGACTCCGACAAATGCGCCAGATTTGAAGGATGGGTCGGGTGTATACTTGGTGGCCCAACCTATCCCAGAATTCATAGCGCAGCCCAGCTCAGTTTCCAACAATGGCGGCAGCTAGTTAGTTTTAATATTACTCCTATTATCTTTCTGGGTCACAAAATAAACGTTTAGCATATTTTCAGGCAGGAATGTAGCTGTGTAAACCTCAAATATCTGCTCAGTTTATCAGGACATCGCATATTTTCAAAAGCGCTCCGACGTTTTCGGAGACGTCTGTTACCCACTAGCTCGATAGCTAGCCGGGGGCAAGGCTAACTGGAGCCGTGAGAACACCGGACTCCCGGCAAATCGTTTTCAAACCCATCGCCGTCTTTCGCTACTCAGGTTAAACATGATATATGAGTCACTTAGATAAATTAAAAATGTTATTTTTGGCTTTTTTAGTATTTTATTTGTTCCTGAGTAAATCGGTTTGGCTGAGATTAAAGTTATAGTTTTTACACAGCTGAATAAACGTCAAGCAGACAGCTGATTATCAGAAGTGTGAGATGCTCCAGAATTTACTCCGGTGTCCTGTTATATTTTAGATAGCAAGGAGTTTATTAAACTTCACCGAAACAATCTGCAAATTTCATTAAAATTGAATAAACTATCATCTCGTCTTTATTTTTAGTTAGCACCTTAAACACTTAACTATCATTAGCTTACAGCTTTATATAAGAGCAGATGCTGCTGGTGCAATAAGCTGTACGTTTTATGTCCAATGGATGATGATCTGATTAGTCGACTAATCACAAAAATAATCGGTGACTAGTCGACTAGTCTGAGCCGCAGCAGCAGTGAGTCAGTCTCCACAGGCACCTGTGTTAAAATAAACATGTTTAGTCTCTGTGGATAATTTCCTTCTTCATAACACAGGTATGGGGGAGGATGTTTCTGTAACTCACCCGTTTTCATTATTATCACCTGTTTGAGGGGCGTGGCCTCTGACTGACAGGTGGATGATGACACAGGTGGATGTAGCTGCTACCTGTCTGCTAGCTTCACTTCTGCACCGTGTTTGTGCTGTTGGTAACTTTTGGAGCGTTTCTAATGACATCACCCGACCAATAACACGGCTGCTGGGAGGTCACTGTACTAACAGACCATCCATAAAGGCGGAGCTCCTGTTTGGGTGCACACTGAAATTCTGGGATTTTGATTGGTTGCTGCTGCACCATCTTGTCCAAATATGGTCATTCCTAGAAACGAAAAGCAACGTGGAGAAAGAAAAAATGCCGAAATTAAAATGGCTGAAATTCAGCGAGGCTGTGTCCGTCTTAGACGTACAGTCTGTGGTGGCGTGTTGATCGTTGCTATGGTGAAGGAAGGTGTCGACACAGCACCATCGAGTCGCTGCAGGCTCAGAAAAACATTCTTTGTCGGCTGGAATGGAAACAGGAAGTAGAACAATGATGGTTTCCTGCTCCTACACAGTTACTGCGAGCTGATTGGCTTACAGTTCAGTGTGTGCTCACCTGAGGCTACGGGGTGGTTCTCAGCGAGTTTTAAACGTGCCTCAGACACCTGAAGGCACCGTTGTGGGGACCTCTGGGGGAGTCTGGCTCGCAGTAATCTGATTACAGTATGAGACACAGGAAGTGAAGCTGTCCACCCCCCCTTTGAGCCCCCTGCTGTGAGGTCTCATACACTGAGGTTACGGCTCTGGCGTGTGTTCTTGCAGGTAGTGAGGGACACTCTCCGTCATTTGTGTTGTTGTTGGAGTGACCAGAGGAGGAGGCGGAGCTCACACTTGACTGAGACACCATCTGTCCTCGCTGTCTCATGAGGAGAATTGGACATGCTCTGCCGCTCGCAGGACACATGAGCCACAGAGCTCACCTGCTCAGGTGTGTGCGTGCGTGCGTGCGGTTTCATGTTGAGGTGAGTCACATTCAAACCAGTCAGCTGGTATCAGCTGTCAGGTGGAAAGGTGACTGCTGCTCGGCTCTGATAGGACGCCTCTGGTATCATCGTTAGCTGTGAGATGGCCGAGCGCTCGGGTTTCAGATGATTTCATTCGGTGTGATAAATCAAACACACCCTCTGCTTCTTGGTGCCGAGGTCAGGGGTAGGATCCCTGCATAGGAAGTTTCGGTGACCTTTGACCCCTTATAGGGTCTCGGGGTTCCCTCCATTTGTTTGAAGCTAATCTCGCAGCACCGTCACAGGCCGCCATGCACTCATTGCTGTTAGCTGTGATGTGACCTCTGCCACGCCCACGTTGGTTTAGGTTCAGGGCTAACTCTGGGGCAGCATCACTACTTACCTGATGCATTGCCATGACAGCTGATGCAGCAGACCCAACCTGTGTTAGATCAGAGTCAGTCAGCAGAAGTCGGTGCCTGTTGGCCAATCAGATGTCTAGAAATGGCGTCGGTGCTCCTGTTGGTGAGTCACGTTGACTCTGATTGGAGGAGCATCGGTAATTAAACGAGCAGAACTCGAGTTAACTCGAGTGCAGCTGTGAGCGCGCTTGTCTGCTGGATGCCACAGGAAGTGCAGTCACATGATCACAGAACCTGCGCCAGTCGGCACCAGCTCAGCTTCATCTGAGGTCAAAGGTCACAGAGTTTTACTGCGTTTTTACTGCGTCGACCTTCAGAGTATCAGCAGTATTACTGCTAGTATCAGTAATCCTAGTACTGCTCTTTAGTCGCACTAACCCTCTGAGCAGCTTTGTTATTTACTGGCACAGCAGTCACATGACCTCCGCCCTCACAGATCCATCCTACCCATAATCCTCTCTGAGTGGAGATAAACCTCTGTGCATGTATATTGACACACACACACTCCCGCAGCAGGTGGTCATCCTGACACCGACCCTTGCCTCCGATTCGACGGTATTGATCACATATGTGTGATGGGTGCAGGAACCTTGTGGTGCATTGTGGGAGATGCGGTTTGCACCATCCAGCCTTTGTGATCTCGCAGACACGGCGCTGCGGCTGCTGGATTCCCAGCATGCCATCTGCTGCAGTTTGACCTTCAGCCGTAGATGAGTGAGCTGTGATGTCAGAGGCAGGTGGTCAGCTGCACTTCCTCCCAATCAGACGGCCGTGACGTGGGCCTGCAGAGCCTGCGAACTGACCCGGGATCAGCTAAGCTCACTGTGTGTTTGGGCGAGTGTGTCTCTCAGGTGTTGAACTCCTCACTGTGATTGGTCAATGAGCAGCTCAACCTGCTAAATCAGTTCATGTTTACGTGAACATGTGTACACAGAGCAGGGCGATATGACCAAAAATATGTATCACGATATACATTTGAAAATTTGTGATAACGATATAACTGACGATATAATCGACACGAGACAAAATACTTTACAACTCCTCAACTTTGTTAGTGCAAAACAAACATCAGAGTATTTCCACTTAAACAAGCAGCTGTTTTTTATCTGCATTAAAGTTATATAAACATGTAACAGTGCAAATTCCTCGCTGACAGTTTAACCAAAAGGCGTTTCCAGTGGAAACTGGCCGACACATCCTCAGCATAACCATGTATAATATCCACAAAACTTAAAGAGCTTATACACACACAATACGGTAATATAATGTTGAAGCACAGTACGTATCACTCCGCGAGGCTCCGCCTACGATACCCGTAATGCTCCGACAATCCATCAAGCGGTGCGGCTTCGTAGCTCAGCAAAGTCGTACTGAAACATTTGACAGATGTTCGAGCGCCGTGCACATAAAATCGTTTCGAGGTCAGTAAACACAACCAGAGTTCAGACATAAGGACACGGGATTATAAGGGGCTCTGTCGACTTTCAGAAAAATGATTGAAAGGATGATTTTAAGTGCGCCGTATTTTCCAAACAACGCGGTAATAACGACGGCCCGCTAGCATGCGCTACCAAAAATAGTGCTTTGTTGTGTATCTGACGGACGAAAGCTAAACCAGTTCCACACCAGTGAAGCTGCAGCATTTTTACAAACCAGTTCAGGTTCATGGTTTCATTCAACGATCCGCTTTCGCTCTTCTCATTCTGCGTCGCCGCCATGCTTTTTCCGCCATGTGCGTATGTAAACAAAAGCACTGCGCATGTGCGTTTTACCCATACTCTATAGTTCATTTTCTTATCGTTGCCCAACATTACACCGGTGTTACTGTGAACGGTGTGACATGGCCCAGCCCTACCTGTCTGACACACCTGTGCAGGTTCAGTCTTTGGGAATAACAAACGTGTTGTGTATATTTACATTTTTGCTCATAAATATGTTTGTTTTATTTCATTAAAATTTTATTTTTTATTTGTTTCTCCTCTGCAAACGTTTTATTTTATTTTCAGCCAAGTTTTTCTCACTTTGGTCTTTACTGGTGTGCACGTGTGTGTGTGCACGTGTGTGTGTGTGTGCACGTGTGCGTGTGTGTGTTCTTCGTCCTGCGCCTTGTTGGCCTCAGTCTGCTTCCTGTGTTGTGCGCTCGGCCCTCCTCTCGTGTCCTCTGTGTGGCGGCGGCGCTGACTCGTGTTTCCGTTCCTCCATCTTGTGTTTCAGGTACTTTCAGGCAGCGTGAGGGTTGCACGCCGGCAGGAGGAGGATCTGTGTGTGCTGACATACAAGGTGAGGATGTGTTTGCGGTCTCTGCTCTTTCCTGGTGAGGGGTTCAGATTCTGCTGCAGCCGTTGCATGACCAAAGCGGTCATATTGATTGGTCAGGTGACATCTTCATGGTGACGCTGCAGGTAGCACTAACATTCAGCTCTTCGTTCGAGCTAACTGCAGCTTCATGTGGAAAGGGTGAAATCTGACCCGAACCCGCAGCCAGGATCAGCTACAGGAGGATTATTCTGAGCATCACTCGTGCTAAGCTGCTCTGGCCTGGATCAGTCTGACGAGCTCACATCATTGGCTCGCTGGGTCACGGCCGCACTTCCTGTCTAACAGCTGCTCTCTGTTTCAGGCAGGATCGTCTTGTGGATGACCTCCTCTCGGGACTTGCTCATCCTTCAGGTACAGACACCGGCGACCTGATGATGATGTCACACACACGTAGCACATGTACATTCACCTGTAATAGCCAGCAGAAGGAAGGGGAGAGACTAATCGCCCAGATCATGTAACCGAAAGACTTTCCGCAAGCCGCAGTAAGCTCCTCCTCCTCTTCAGCTGTCGGTCGTGTCATCACGCAGGTGAAACGTTTGAGGGGCGTTTGTCCTTCTAACATGCTGCAGGTCTGTCTCGCCATCGCCGCTCTCAACTCCGCAGCTTGTCATCAGATCTGCAGTCCACTGTTTGTGAGGTCATTTAATAGAGGAAAGGGCCCCACCCCAGCCCCTAATTACGTCTCCCAGCAAACTGACACATCCTTGGAAAGTTGGAATTAAAATTAATTGCAGCCAGTTTGTGATAAATTACAGTGGAGGGAAGGACCGCTCCCTGACCACGTAAAAGGTAGCACGCCTGGCGTGGACGACGAATGGTGGGTGTCTGCATGCTGTTGGGGGACAATTAAATTCATACCTCCACCTTTAGATCTGAGATATTGTAGCTTATGTCGGAGAAGGCTCTCCTTTACCAAGGAAACCAAGACGGGAAGCAAAGAGACAGCGGTGCTGTCGTCTTAATAAAATGTCCTCGTCTTCCTCCTCACCTCAAGCCTGTGCTGACGTCATGGCGCTAACACACAAATGCATAAACGTGCTCATTTATTCCCCAAATTGTTCTAAGTGCTTATTATAATTACTTATTAGCAGAATAGACATGAGATCCTGCCGTCAGGTTCACGCGTCCTAAAAATCCCACGTTCCCTCTCAAAGACAGTTTGGTTACATCGTTTATTATTATTTAAGAGTCCAGCAGCATCGCAGACACTTCAGTCAGCAGCTAGCAGAGGCTAACGGCTGCCCTACTCCCAGAAAGGTTCAGTGTATCGTCAGCAGCTGTCGTCTTCAGCAGTGAGCTCCTCGGACTCCTGTCGGAGTTTTACAGGCGTGTCAGGGGGAAGCAAAGGCAGACGCTTCCCACACGGCATTGACAGCTGAGGTAAACGGTGACCTGACAGCCTTCAAAGATGGGGAAAATCTCCCTCACTCACTGTTCAGCTGCCTGCTCTCTGCTGACCTCTAGTGGTGACATTTTACACGCAGCTGTCAGATCGATCCAAACCAGCAGCAGCAGGTTCAACACCGATCTGTGACCGTCTCAGAGGCTGAGTCGGTTGGCTGAACTTTGCCCTCTTTTCAGTGTCTTCCTCTTGCCGTGTCTCGTACAGTCTCCATCCCCATCATATGACATCACGTGGCCTGACTTTACTACCCCTCCATGCGTTGCTGTTGATTAACCTTCTGTCTTCATGTAAATGAAAGTGGGCAGGACTCGGGTTTCCTGTTGGCGTCCTCACATGTGGCGTGTTCTCCCGCTGAAATCAGTTCATTCATTTTCCAGTAGCTCCCAGTTCAGGCGCTGTGGTCCATTTCTCACAGGCGTACGCAGCTGATTTTAAATGCCGCTGCCTTTGACTTCACTCACAGAGCATTTCAGCAACATCAGAGACGTCCGGAGGGATTTGTCTTTCGTGAAATGATCCAATATGAACTTTTAAAGATTGCTGATTTATAAAACATTAACAAAGCTTCAGGCGTGTGCATGTGAGCGTGCACATAGGCGTGTGTTCGTGAGGTGGAACAGAGGGCGTTTCCATCGTGTGGAGAAGCTTTAAAGGACGTTCACTGTGACGTCAGAGGTCCTTACAGAGGGGGAATGTCAGAGAGTGTGTGTGTGTGTGTGGGGGGGGGTGGTATTAACATCTTCATGGGGACCAAAGATTGGTAGTTTATTATACTATAATAGTGGGGACAAACGGCCCTCGCGGGGACCAAAATCCTGGTCCCCATGGGGTTGAAGGCATTTTAGAGACTCAAAATGAGGTTTTAGTGTCAGGGTTACAATTAGGTTATGGTTAGGCTCAGGGTTAGGCATTCATTTTTGATGGTTAGGGTAAGCGGCTAGGGAAAGGGTTATGCCAATGAAATGTCCCCACAAGGTTGTGTGTGTGTGTGTGTGTGTGTGTGTGTGTGTGTGTGTGAGAAAAGGAAGTTGCACAGTGATCAATGGCCTGCCATTGGCTCCCCAAGGGCAGGACGCGGTCATGTGATGTGCATTAGTTGGAGCAGAGAGTGGCGGGTGCGTGTCTGAACTAGAGATGGACCGATCCGATATTACGTATCGGTATCGGTCCGATACTGACCTAAATTACTGGATCGGATATCGGAGAAAAATAAAAAATGTAATCCGATCCATTAAATATCACGAAAGCACCTCACAAAACTTGCAACACGCCGTAACTCACCTCAGAATGTTAGCACTCGGAGCAGTATGCATCACGTGATAGAGCGGCTGTGGCATGCGGGACCTGTCGGTGGTCTGGATAGCATGTGGAGCTTCGCTAGCAACCCGGCATTTCATCTCCGACAAAGTTATCCCCGAGAGAAGTAAAGCAAGTGTGTAAGTCCATCTCTGAATGTTTGTAAAGCATTCCTGCGTTAAGCTTAACAAACGATATATGGAGCGACTGCCTCTTCTTGCTGCTACTTCAATCATGAAACTGCTTAATGATCAGCTGATCGGCTTTTCTGTCGCGAGTCCGTCTCTTGTTTGTTTTTGGCCCACTTTGCACCAGAAAGAGGAAACCAGCGGCTGAACAACAGCAGCACGTTTAAGCTTGATAAGCTGTTGTTAGAATTTATTTAATATTACTTTCTACTCGAGGATCTTTTTCTACGTAGCTGACGGCTGGTAACTGTGCAGGGGCGGATCTAGCAAAGTTTAGCCAGGGGGGCCGATAGGGCATTAACAGGGAAAAGGGGGCACAAAGACATACTTTTCTTTCTTATTCTCATTTAAAATGTCTAGCTTTTAATAAATAATTATCTGACACCCAAAGTTTTAATTTGATGTAAAATGAATAGAAGTCCATTACTGTATATAGTAACTATTAAGTCTAATATACCCTAGTAAGCTATAGTACTTTTTCCTTTGGGAAGGTACCATCTGTGCAGTCTGCAATTTTGTTGAAGAAAGATGTTGAATCTATTTAATATTTCTTGAAAAATAATTGATTTCTGTGCATTTTTTTTCACACTGCATCAAATTAAGGTTGATTACGTCGATTAAGCATCATGAGGTGGAGCGTGAGGGGTGGTTCCCTATTTTTTATTTATTTATTTTTGTTGTTGCTGGGAGTTGGAACCCTATTAGTTAGGTTGCTTAATATTTATGCTAAGTACTCTTTAAAATACCAGAATAGGGAGGATGGTGTAGGTTTAAGTTTATTAGATTGATCAGTATTGCTGAACTATGAAATATTTTTTTTTGCATACAGGTATAACAGAATAGCTTTAGTGTAGTTGTTGTTTTAAACTTGAGTATGAACTTATACAAAATGCAGCAAGATATTTAAAAAGCAGTTTTGTTGATTAAAAAACACTATATCGGATTCATATCGGTATCGGCAGATATCCAAATTCATGATATCGGTATCGGACATAAAAAAGTGGTATCGTGCCATCTCTAGTCTGAACAGTACATTCACACGTTACAAATCAGAGCTTTGACCTTTGACCTCCACATGCCAGTTGAACGTCCAGTGAGCTCACAGTCAATCAGAGCAGAGCGCTGTGGCAGCTGTAATCATGTGACATCATCATCAGCTGTTAGCACATTAGCAGTGTTAGCTCCACTCTGTCACATGCTAACATTAGTGTTAGATCAATGCAGCTGCACTTCCTGTTCTGGAAACAAACGCAATCAATGAGAGGCCTGAGGGACGGACACGCATGCACACACACTTTACTGTAGTGGTGAGGGTGTATTTGATGCTGATGACGGGCGACCGAGCATCGATCTGCACACACAGAGAGAGGGTGAGGGGGCGACGGTTGCAACAGTCTAGTTGCGGTCGAGGCGTTGTGGTGGGTGGTTGTCGGGCGTCCGAGTCGTTTTGTGCCTCCTCTAACTCGTCTTCTCCTGGCAGGACTGACAGACCGACACGAAGTTACACAGGAAGGAAGCACGGCCTAGGATGGCGAGTGCGGCGCCGGCCAGGAAGCCGTACCGTAAGGCTCCACCGCAGCACCGCGAGTCACGCCACGCCCTGCCCACTGCTCCGCCGCCACCTGCACCGCAGCCCGACATCAATCAGGTAATCAAACACACTTTAAAGACACCTCCACACCCCCCGCAGCACCTTGCCCGTCAGCGGCTGTCTGGCGATGGGATGAGGCCTGGCGTCCCAACCCTGCCGCCGCCACTCTCAGACAGCGAGCTGGAGGTTTCCAGCCTTTCCAGCCTGGAGCTCTGCACCCCGCCGCCGCTCTTCAGAGGACATATCCACCAACCCAGCTCAGCGAAAACCGCGTTGGCGGGGATGACTGCATCCGGTCACGATGCCATGATTCCTCACCGAAAGCCGCGACCTCAGCGCGGCACGAGTCCTCGCAATGTCAAGACCTCCATTAACACAGGAAACCAGGCTTTCCTGGGACATGGAAGCCCAGCCCCGAAACACGCAGTGAGCTGCAACCCTCGAGGAAGACATCACCACCTCAATTACTGCACGAACGCCGCTGGCCGGACGCGGACCGCCAGCGCTCCTCGGAGCATCCTGAAGCAGCCGACTTCACTGGGTGTGGAGACCTATGACATTATCAGGAAGTCAAAGTCGGTGGAGATGATAAATGACGGCAGAGGGCGGAGCAGCGCCAGCCGGTGCCCTCCGACCCGTTCTCTGGATCGGGTAGAGCAGCAGGGGCTGACCTGGCGGCGGTCCTCGTCCCCGCCCTCCCCTGTCAGGACTGACTGGAACTGGAGGATGCAGGCGCTGCAGGAGAAGGTCCGCTTCTCTAACTTCTTGGATGAGATCACCTGTCGGGTCCTTAGCCCCGCCCGCCTAACACTGCTCGGCAGGTCGGCTTCTAAAGAGTATATAGGCCCCGCTTCCCAGCGCCGCCACCCCGCCTACAGAAACCAGCAGGTGGAGGGGTCTTCTGCAGACCGGACTCGACGCTGGGACGACTGGGTGGCAGCGCTGCAGCGGCCCGGAGGCACGCAGGAGGAGGGGGCGGTGCGGGAGACCGCGAAGCAGCAGCAAGGGTACAGAGAGTGGGCGGGGACTAAACGGCAGGTGAAAAGAGGAGTTAAGGTGGACAAACGTCCTCTCTCTAATCTGTCACTGCTGTCACACATCAAGGTAGGTCCACTCCACCTTTACCCCGCCCCCAACCGTTTCCTGTTGTTCTTTTCCTGCTGCGGGTCAAAGGTCACCAGTCCAGGGTAGCAGACTGGTCTTAGCGGTTCACACTGAGCTCATTAGTTATTGATCATCAAGATGACATCACACAGGGGCCACATACAATACATAGGACGCCAAACTCCCAGTGACGCACTCTGACCTCGCTTTGACCTCTGGTCGTGCACCCCTTGATTTTTGTAACTTGTGATTGGCTCTTCAGCGGTTACGCTGCGATGTTGTCTCCGTGCCGACACCATACTGCAGCAGCTTGTTGCGCTTTAATGGCGGGTATATACAGCTGCGTGCGTGTGGTGACGGCGTGTCAGCAAGCCGAGCTACGGCTGCGAAGGGTGTGGTGGCCGCTTCAGTCCGTCCAATCATGTGATAGTGAGACGGAGAGCAGAGCGCAGGGCGGAGTCCAGAGTGACACGCATACACACAGTTTAAAGTGCAGTTTGTTGTGTGTCTGATGATGTCGTGTTGTGTTTCAGGAGGCGTTGTCGGACTCGGACAGGATCAGGTGAGTCCATTTGAACGTAACTTCCTGTCTGTCACGCCTTCTCGTTAGCTTAGCCGTTAAAACAGGAAGCTGGGCAGCATTTGTCATCAAGCAGCTTCAAACTAAAGGACGTGTGGGCTGTTTGTCCCGTTAGTGTCGGTTATTAACAGGAAGCAGCTTTTAGTTCAGCCAGGGTCATGTGGTCTCTGAACAGGAAGCTCTGTCTTCATCACTTCCTGTCTCCTCCCAGAATCCTTCAGCAGCAGAATGAGGACCTGCGGCGCCGCCTCTCTCTCACCACCCACAAGATGGAGGCCATGGAGGCGGAGTTTGACAGCAACCGCCACTACATGGAGGCGGAGCTTAGCCGGACTCGAGACGACCTGGACAAGATGAGAGACAAGTTCCGCAGGTGGGTGGAGTCAGTTCATCAGGGATGAGAGTGTCAGTCGCACCGCTCACTCTCTTCCATGAAGTACACTTGCAGTACTTGTACTTTGATGTTTGCAGTACTTGTACTTTGATGAATGGTCCCGTGCAGCTCTACGCTCACGGTTGAGTTTTCTTTAACCAACAAACGCGATCCTCGCAGCGCCGATAAAATCAGCTGACCCTTTCCGTACGCGTGTGCTTTGATCTGATCGAAGGTTAATCAGCTGACCGGCCTGCGCCCGAGTCTGCACGCGCTCCGTCACGCTGCTGTGTGTACTGTGTTTCTCGAAGAACAGAAAGTACTTGTTCACTTACCTGTCAGCAACGCCCGCCGTCACAGCCACACGTGGAGTCCGGTCGTCTCTTACGCAACCCGTCCACGTGGCGGTTTCTCGTCTCTACAGGCGGGGAAACGCTGATCACAGCGCCGAGTCTGTATCTGCTCCAGCTCAACACTCTGGCCTCCAATGAGCCTCGCCTCCAGCGCTCTGTTTCCGTGTCTGACGCGGCAGCGATTGAAGGGTCGAACGCACTGCTGCAGTCTACGGTCGGGCGAGCATTACTCATACTTGCGCTCTCTCTCTCTCTCTCTCTCTCTCTCCCACCTGCAGACTCCAGAACAGTTACACAGCGTCTCAGAGAGCCAATCAGGATCTGGAGGAGAAACTTCACGCTCTGGTAAACCTCTGCCTCTCACTCACCTGACCTTTGACCTTGGGATACTCGGGAGCACCGTAGCAACAGGGTTGATCGAGCTCATCCAATAACTGATCAATACCTGAATAAAAACACTGAGGCAGTGTATTGATCACCTGTGGGAGAGCCACGGTTACAGCTTGGACGTGTTTGTTCAAACAAAATGTTCAGTTTTTTTACAAATCCACTGAGCATGTGCAGTGACCTTGGGTTATTGGGCAGTGCAGGGGTGTGTTATGTTACTGAGTGTGTGCATTTATGGTGATGTCATCAGCAGGAACGGCGTGTTCAAAAACTGTCACAGTGACTATTCACGCAGCGCAGACAACGCTAGCTGGCATTGGTGTTGAAATTGAGTCAACCAATCACTAACAGTGCCAAATGAGTGTCAAGCAGCATGACTCCGCCCACTGACTCCAAATGAAAGAAACAATGAGCTGCTGTGGCTCCACGGGCGTTTCAGAGAGGACGTTAGAGCGAAGCTGCTGTCCGGTCTTTTAAATGATGACATATGAACCCTGGGTCTAAACTGCTCTGTTTATTAAGGCTGTTGTGTTTTTAACATGTTTTAATGTTTTGTATCTTGTTCTGTTTAATCTGAACAAGCCACTAAAAACAGTCAGTGATCACTGTCGGCCTCAGTTTTTATTGCAGCTGCTCAGTTTTAAACCCTTATGATGTAGCTACAGCCCATGCAGCAGTATATTAATGACTAACCTCGTATTGTGGATGGATTATCTCAGTTGTTCTCCTGGCTGAAGTTTGGTCCGTTTACAGCATCCTGCTATGCGACTGCATTTGTTCCTGACCACCGAGAACACTCACGTTAACTTTTATAGAGTGGAAAGAAGTTAGCGTTCATCCTCCAGCTTCACTGTTTATGTTATGCTAACATAGCTGTGTAGCTAGCGGTCACGTAGCACATCATTATATAGCAGCTAGCCCAACTTCAGTAACCCTACAAACGTCACTGCTGTTTAGTTTCCTGTCTTCATTTATGTTGGAAGTGATAGCAGAGCTGTACGTTTGAATTTTTTCAGAAATCTCTCAGTCAGAACATGCTATATCCTGTTTAGGTAGAAGCTAGGGAGCTAACTTCCTGCTAACGTCTAACTCCGTTAAATGTCATAAATTCTGTTTTCATGGATGCCTGGATGATAAACTTAATTGTTACACCTGGTAAAGCGGCAACGCTGATCATTTTATTAAAGATGAAAGAATTCAGACAGTTTTTAACTCTCTGTGATGCCGCAGTGTTCGTTTGACTTTGGGACCTGAAGCGGAGTTTAGACCCGGAAACAGCTCATGACGTCAGACTTAAAGACTGGATACTGGGTGTCAGTTTATTCGTGCTAGCATGTGAGCCAACTGTCCCCAGGTTCATGCAGTGTAGCGGACTCACAGCTAGCTGGCTAACTGTAGCTATGTTGCTAAAATTATTGCTAACAGGCTATTTTCCAGTTTCGCTGAGCAGCTAACATGAGCCTGTTTGTGTCTGTGGTCAGTTTTTATTTCACTCCTTAGGATATAATTTACAGGCACAAAGTGATGTAGCGTTTACTCTCCGCAATGGCAATTGTTAGCCAGCTAGCTGTAAGTGGTCTCTGACATGGGCAGCGTCATAAACTGCTGTATTTCTGGTGCTCAGGTGTGCACGCTGCCGAACACGCAATGACTGTTGGCTGAGTGGGCACAGGGGGTGCCAGCGACCTCTGAAAGTTTGGGTGGGAGCTCAGCTGGGGTGGGTGGGGTTAGAGGTGGTGAACGGTTGACAAACTTCTTGTTTTTGTCTGACTGTCGTTCTTCATCTGTTTCTTTCTTTCTCCTTTTTCGCACGCTGCTCCCTGGTGGATTGACTCATCTTCATCACCTCCACCTTCATCACCTCCATCCTCATCGCCTCCATCAGGCTGCTGTCAGTCAGACATGGGTTCATGCAGTTGCGTTTCATGTTCTTCTTCCTCCTCCCTCTCTGTCCCCCCTCCTCCTCCTGTTTGAGCACCAAGTCCTCTCGTTTAGCTGTTAAACTGATTTTTCTGGGAGAAACCTGAGCAGCTTTGAGAGGCGTGAGCTCAGCCTCCATCAGCCTCCACCTGTTCCTCCTTTAGTGTTGCTGTAAGTTCTCTGTGACCGAGCTGGACTGAAGATCCGGCTGATCTCCGCCTTAAAGACTCGGCTCGCTGCGTTTTGAACTTTTTGGGCTTGGTGTTCAAACTCCGCCCATCTCCGCCGATGGCGGTCGCGGATCCAGTTTTTTTTTTTTTTGTTGTTTTGTTTTTTTTGTTTGTTTTTTTTTAGCTTTTAGGTTTTCTGAGCTCGCCTGACGGATCAGGATGAACTGAAGGTTCGTCTTCAGGAAGAGACGATAAAAACGTGTCCGATATTACCAAACATTCACGATAGTGAGGAAAATCATTCCCATCAAAAATACTTTTCTCCAGGAATATTTTCTCAATTTTGTTTTTCCTCTTTTGGAGAAATATCAAATCTTAATTTTAAATCCCGACTTTTCTGTTTGTTGGATAAAAATGTCGTTTGTATTTTTAGAATCAGACTTTGTTAAAATGTTGATTTAAGACTAAATATTTGTGTTTCTTGCAGCTTTTTAAAAAACATATTTTGATATAAAATGTTTCTGGAAATCAGAACTTTTCTCAGATTATTTTGACATAAAAATATAAAAAAAATAGCGATTATTTTATTTTTATTCCAGAGCTGCTGTGAACAGCACACCTGTTGGTCGGTAACAAATGGTGCTCATTTCCACCTGCAGCGGGCGGAGCTTGTCCATTACATTCTCCGTGGTGCTGCACGCGTGCAGAATGCGTTCCTCTAGCTGCGGACGAAGGTCCTGATCTGACGATGAGCAGAAAACTGATGCTCACGTTTGAGACGTGCTTGCAGAGTAAAAGCTGAACATCGAGCTTGTTTTCCAGCTTCAGCGCTTTGATCGGGATCTTATCGATCTTATTGATCTCCTAGCACACGCCACTGCTTCCCATAATGCATCTGTAAGAGCTGCTGGCTTAATGCAGCATTCAAATGATCTGGGAAAACTAGCTTAACTTCACAGCGCTGGCTGAAGGAGGACTAGTTTGAAAAGCTGACAGGAGAAGCTGAGCTGCACAGAAAACTACAAACATGTTGCCCACACGGAAAAATGTGCGATTCAGTTTTTTCCCACATGATCTGAATGTAGGTTTCCGCTGAAGGCCCACCTGCTGTTGCCTCAGGCTCCTGATTGGCTGCTTTACTGTGACTGATGGCTGGTACGCTAATGCTTTGTCTTTGCCCCGCCCACAGCTGCGGAAGGTGGAGAGGGACAAGAAGACGATGGACCAGGAGATCGTGCAGCTCACCAACAAACTGCTGGAGGCTAAAAACACCATCGACCATCTGGAGGAGCTCAACGTGAGAACAAACAGTCACTTGTGTAAAAATGTTCAGCTTCCAGGTCAAAGTTCAAAGTGTCAGGTGTTTCACAGTGAGACGACAGGAAGTAAAAACTACTGTGTGATAACTTCCTGACTGACAAGACTTGCTGTCAGTCAGGTGGTCTCTGTAAAACCATTGTTCTGCAGGATGGGCTTTTATTTTGTTTAATGGTGTCTGTTTCCTGTGAGCGTGCTCTGACTGATGCTCTCTTCTGTCTGCAGGAGCGCTACAGGCAGGACTGTAATTTGGCCGTTCAGCTGCTCAAGTGCAACAAGTCGCACTTCAGGAACCACAAATTTGCTGATGTGAGTAACTTTTATTATTACGAGTGGAAAATTCTCTGAATCTGCAGTCTCTCAAACGTCCAGCAGGGGGCGACTCTGAGAAAATGAACCTCCTGCTCAGCTGACCTCTGACCCTAGTAAACTGTTTCCTGATTGTTTTGAGATCTGAGTGAAACAAACGTGAAGTTAATTTGGGAGGATTTTAGTCCCTGTGGCGTCACAGCACCGCAGGAAGCAGCTGAGGGCGGGCCTACCTGTAGTTATCAGGGCAGTGTAGCTCAGCAGTGTCTCCGGGTTCAAAGGTCACATCTGCCTCTCACTCTGCTCCAACTGTGGTAGTTTCTTGCTCCAGCTGACAGGCAGAGTGTCAGTACTGAACGTCAGAGCTGACGTCACTGGAAGGTCCTCGCCGCTGCAGATGGCAAGGAGTTTTCCACTGGTCAGCAGGAATCGGGCGAATGAATCTCCAGTATAACGCTTTAATGGAGGAAACTGGCACACGCGCTAATGCCATTAAAGCGTGAGAGTGGGATCGATCTGCTGCCTGCATCAGACCCATTAGTTTAGAGACACACACGGATATTTCCAGGAGAGAGAGTGTGTGTGTGTGTGTGTGTGTGTGTGTGAGGACTACTGACTTTGAAATGGGTCACCATGACAACCACTGCATATGACTTCAGCTCTGCGCTGGATTTCTGGAACAGGAAGTAACATATTTGGGAGAGAGGCGTGGTTATCTGGCCGTAGGTATCAAAGAGCTCCAGTTCAGGTGAAGCCTAGCAGACCATTAGCAGCAAGAGGCCACGCCCCTAATAATGGAAACCTTAAACCTCAATACAGTTTAGACAAGTGAGTTAAAAGCATCCTCCCCATGGACAGGTGTTACATTTGTCTCTGACTTTTCTTTGATATATAAAACTGTGTCATCTGCATCTCGTGATAGAGGTGTTACCGTAGAGACCAGTTTGTGTGTTCGGCCGTAAACACGTTCATTTCTGCTGTGATGTTGTAACACGGGGGACTGACTCACTGCTGCCTCTGCTGGTTGTTAGAGGTACTGCAGGTTCTGTAACTTCCTGTTTTAGACCTACAGTTTATTGGCTGATGAAGACTTTAGTTTGTGACCCTGTCTGTGGAGCTGAGTGCCGAAAGAACGGGAATTAAACGTGTACGTGTGTGTGTGTGTGTGTGTGTGTGTGTGTGTGTGTGTGTGTGTGTGTGTGCAGCTGCCCTCAGAGCTTCAGGACATGCTGAACAAACACATGAAGAGCAGTCTCCCAGAGCGAGGCCCCGCCCCCGGCTCTCAGGACCCAGACACGCTCAGTTTGACGCCCGCTGACGTCGTGCCGACCTCGGTCATCGCCCGTGTCCTAGAGAAACCCGAGCCGCTGGTCCTGAACTCTGCCCAGTCCAGCAGCTGTGGCCGGCCCGTCGCCGAAGACGTCTTCGTGCACGTGGACATGACGGGCCCCGGGGGGTCCGAGGGGCGAGGCCGGGAGAACTGTGCCGGTCAGGAGACGTCGCATCAGAACGGCTCGTGTCGCAGTCAAAGCAGCTTGGATGAAGAGGCAGGTGGAGCTCCATCTTTCGAGAAGCTGAACCCGTACCCAGCACCACCTCCACCCCACCCTCTCTACCCCGGGCGCAAGGTCATCGAGTTCTCGTCGGACGACAAAGTGAAGATCCCGAAAAACTCGCCGCTGCCCAACTGCACATACGCCACGAGGCAGGCCATCTCGCTGAGCCTCGTGCAGAATGACGACGAGCGGTTGGCCCCTGGCAGCCCCGCCCCCTCCTCCTCCTCTGGAGCCCAACAGCGCACGCCACCATCACAGAGAGACGCCCCCAGCGAGCCGCTGTCCAGCCAGTCCAGCCCATTCAGCAGCCCGCCTCAGGTAACTGAAGCCTCACCCACCATCACACCAGTTAAATCTCAGATGCGAGCTGATGATGATGATGATGATGTTGTTTTTAACCCCTCCCACTCAGGCACCCAGTGTCCTCGCGAGCTCTGGCAGCTCTGAGGAAGACCTGCTCGCCAACTGGCAGCGGATGTTTGTGGAGAAGATGGCGCCGTCCAGCGACGGCACGCTGCTGCACCGCACGTCCTTCAGTAGCCAGACGGCTCAGGAGCTGCAGAGGAGGAGGCAGGTGCCGGTGGGAGTGGCCTCCTCCTCAGACCGGCACAGGGCGGCGTACTCTGATGGCGAGGAGGGCTCGTCGGCACGCAGCTGGACACCGAGCCGCGGCTCTAGCCTCGACACAGACACCGACACCGAGCAGCGGGTGGGGAGGCGGGGCTGTTACGGCGGCAGGGACTGTTCGGAGGAGGAGGAGGGAGAGCAGCTGCTGATGAACCTGGATGATGACGGTGGGAGCGGGGACACTGCAGTCACCGTGGTGACCAGCCCCGGCGACGCCCGCAGGGAGCTGGAGGAGGAGGGCGAGAGCTCAGGGGAGGAGAGAGACATCCTGCCCCACGAACTGCCCGTCATCTCAACCCGTCTAATGGACTTGGACCCCGCCCTTGGCGCCATCGCGCTGCATCGGCCCCAGAAGAGCCCGAAGAGGATGGGAGTGCACCACCTGCACCGGAAAGACAGCCTGACCCGCGCCCAGGAGCAAGGCACACTGCTGGACTGATGCTTGCTCGCCCCGCACTGTGCTCCGCTGACCTGATGCTGAGGTCAGAGGTCACACCCATCCAGGATATAGCCATACTCTACCGTATGCCGAGCTCGCCGCCTGACCCGGGTGTGTGCGTGAGACACGAATCACTGTCCACATACTTTTGGTCTGATGACGTGTCAAGAGTGGTGATGATGTAGCAGAGAGGAGACATGGCCAGAAGTATGTGGACACGTCAATCGTAACACTTGGCAAACCGCGTGCGTGCGTGCGTGCGTGCGGGCGTCATTCACTAACAATGCGTCCACACAAATCTGTGATTTCTGTTTTCGTACCTGAATCCGTACGCGCGGTCAGAGAACGCTGCAGCGTCCACGTCACATATTCAGCACCCCCATTAGCCTGACCGTCACTTGGTTTGTTTACGTTTGAACCGTGGTCGCTCCCGTGGAAACACTGTGGAAAGCTCCGCCTCTTCTGGCCTCCTCGGACACTATTATTCAAGTTTCTTTTTCTTCGCCTCAGACACGTAAGCGTGTGTCCTTGGATAGAGAAATGGGGGCGGGGCCATATGTGGATAGTATGCTAATTATATTGCAATTGCGCAGGGCTGGTTAACGGATTAACGGCCGGTACGCATGTGAATCCAGCTGTAATATGGCGCCGTTTAAGAACGTTTCCACGCAAATATTGGTGAATGAGGCCAATAGAGTTCTGATCAGCTGATTATCAATCAATCATCAGATAATGTCCATCCGTATGTGGACAGCCTAAACCGAAGTTTGACGTTTCTGTGAATTTGGAAAAGAAATACTTTTGACTGGTTGGTTCTCCACGAAGGTGTCCGCATATTTATGTCCATATGGCGTCTTTGATTCTGAGTCTGCATATAGAGTTTATACAGTATGAGCAAAAGTATGTGGACAATTAAAGGTTCAGTTGAATTCTGAACAATCAACATTCAAAACCACGTCTCGTGTGTGTGTGTGTGTGTGTGTGTGTGTGTGTGTGTGTGTGTGTGTGTGTGTGTGTGTGTGTGTCTCAGAGCAGAAAAATAGATTTTAAAAGCAAAACTTTACCGGATGTATTTGCCTTTTTTCATGAACAGGAGCTTTTATTTTGAAGAGACACACACAGACAGTGCCTCGCTCGCCCTCAGTCTCTCACTCCACGGTTGTGAGTGTGACACCGGGCACACAGTCTTTTCACTAAGACTTTTATTTTGAAGTCTGTACTAATCATTGATTTCCTGTTGTTTAGTCAGCTGATTGATTTGTTGTGGAGCTGCAGACTGAGGTTTGACCTTTGACCCAGATTCACCTCTGCCCCCTCGAACACTAGGACTGCGCCTGTGGGTTGGGGGCGGGGCTTCTTCTCAACTCACACCTAGAATGTACCAGTTTTGTTTTTTTGCTGTCATGTTTGTTTTTTTCTGAAATATTGAGTATTGTTTTGTTATTAGTTTTTTTTTTTTGCGTTTATAGATTTGTGATTTTTTTTTTTTTTTTTTTTTTTTTTTTTTTTTTTTCCCCCCCCTCCCCTGGTCAATTTGTGCTTTTGTCATGTGTCTACGGAAGCCTGTCGGTGCCAGAAATTCTCAGTTTCATTTAAATGATGATTGAAAACAAAAACTCTACTGATATTCCTTTAAATAGCAACCTGATTCCTACAAAATAAAAGCCTCTATAGTGGGGGAAATTGGGGTTAAAACAGAAATCAAAGAATCTGTTTGACTTCCTGCAGTGCCCCCGGTGGCCTGGAGGAGTTTATATTTGTGGCACCTGTGAGCCTCCGTACCTGACCTCACTCTGTTCTTCTTGTGATTGAATGTCAGCTCGTTGCCTCCTCACAGCTCTGATTGTCACTCCCACCGAGGCCCGACGTTGGGTCATCAATCGGTCCCGCCTCTCTGACTAACGGAGGTGATCGATCATTGGACGGATTAATGGTGGAATGTTCAGGGGCTTTTTCAGGTTTCCTGCAGAGAAAACTATTTACAGAAACGGGAGCTGCTCACAGTTTTCAGCCGCTTTCACGGGACGTGATGTCACAGCGGAGAGCGCTGCAGCCGCTGACAAGTTAAAGCTAGGCCGCTCGCTGATGTGGTGGGAAGGTCGAGTTGTGGTTGTGGCGTAGCGACAATCGACTGTTTGAGTTTCAGCGCTTTCTGAGATGTAAACTGCCCGTGTGCATGCTACGTGACATTTACACACCTGTGCGTATGTCTGAAACTTAACGGACTAAACGCTGTGCGAGCATTATGAACAATGCACACCGACAATTATCTGAAGTGACAGCAGGGAAGTTCACGCCTCCCTCCTCTTCTGGGGAAACGTCGAGGAGTTCATGTTCACGTTTATGGCATTTCTCAACGGCGATGCGCCACCTGGTGGCAGATGGCTGCATAATATTTAGGACACAATCAATTACCGCCATTGGTCAATTTAAATTTTACCAACTGGATTAACTCGTACGTCTGGTAACGACTAGTGACAGTAGTGACCACGCAGTGACCGCATGTGAGGTCAGATGTGCCCGCTGCTGTAACTCACAGTTCAAACAGGAAGTGAGGCATCTTGGTCCAACCATGGCGTCATGGGACTGAGGGTTTTTTTGGGGGTTTTTATTTTTTTGGTTTGTTTTTTTAATCGTAACTTTGACGATGTGAATCAGCACGCGATGTCTCGCTGAAGGACGCCATCTCTGTTTGACCTCACAACATGCTACATCTGCCCCATTATACACCGTGATGATGATGATGTTGTTTTCAGATTGTTAGTTGACAGATGGTGGGAAACAGACCAAAAGAGTACGCACTGATTCAGTTGAAATTAAACAGCAGAAAAAGTAAACGAATCCGCACCAAACGTCACGCCGGAGCATCGAACCCTGAGCGTGTCCAGGTGGACTGTGTGTGTTTGGGGGGGGGGTCGTATTGATAGAGACTTGAGGTGTTTGTGAGGACATTTCAGGCATTTTTCCAGTGGAAACACTGAGGTGAAGGTGGGCGGGGCTTCCTGCTCAGACTGCAGGTGAATAAAACATAGACAAGCGGAGCGAGCAGCTCAAAGCTGCGAGCTGATGAAACATTTAAACCTTTTTTTCCTTTTGCGAGTCCTTCATCCTGCAGACACGTCGTCCTCCTGCTGGAGTCGTCAGCTGCTGTTAAATTATTCACCTTTTTTCCGTCTCGCTAATATTTCACTGTGTGTGTGTGTGTGTGTGTGTGAGAGACTCTGTGAGGAATGAGGTCACTGAGACTTTCCAAACAGACCAGGTTTCAGGGTCGGAGTCCTGGTACCGTTTACCTGGTACAAAACCAAAAGGTAGGTGTGTGTGTGTCAGTGTGTGTGAGAGAGAGAGAGAGAGAGAGAGAGAGAGAGAGGGTATAAATAGATGATACATGAGGACTCGTACATCTTTAATGATGCGACTTGTCGGAGCAATGACATCACTCTGCTTGTTTTAACCTTCACATTAAAACGCTTCACAGCGTCAGTGTGTTGTAGCCTTTAGTTAATGCTTTTATTCTGAAAAGTATTAACTAAAGAGGTAGGAAACGGTGATGAACGACTCTGGTGATCTAAGGTCAGACTGAAGTGGTGTTTTCTTGTCTGCTTCCTGTTTAAAGTGACTCTGTGTCCCAGCATGCATCAGAGAAACATGCAAGTGTTCGCGTCAGTGGGTCCTTGATTTCCAGGCCCCGTGACAGCGGCGAGCAGCTCCTGTTGTCGTGTTCGTCTGATGTTTTTGGAAGCTCAGTTATCAGTGCTTGCTAACGTGTGGTGTCGCGCTGTTATGCGTCTCCTTTTACAGAGTAGATGATTTTTAAAAATGGCGTTGATGAGTCAGATCCTGTTTGGAAGCCTCTGTATTAGTTGGCTCACCTGTGCAGGTGGAGCTGGGCGGCCTCACTGTTGGCGCTAAAAAGGTAAACACACGTTTCTACTGTATTTTCTTTTTTCGTTCTGTTTCGATGTGTCTGCACCAAGCCGACACCATCATGGCTGCGGACGGGCGGGGGGCTTATGTGAAGACGACATGGAGTCACCCGAGGACCGACAAACGGTAACTAGTGGGGGAGTGTCTGATTGTAATCCCGCCCCTTACGCTCTCCCCCCCAACGGGTGCTGTCTGAGGTCACGACCTCTGACCCCAGGCGCGGTGTTTTTGGGGTCAGCTGGGTGGTTTCCTGTCCTTGCCGCGTCTCGCCTGGCGGACAGAAACGGACTGTTAATCTCTGACGATTTTATTTTCTCAGTTTGTAAACAATGTATATTTTAAAGCTAATAAAATATTTTAAACAAAGCTCCGCCTCCTCGCCTGTTATTGTTTTAAGGACCTTTAAGTCAGGTTGGAGTTTGGTTTGTACTGCATGAAGGAAATAATCAGATCGTCTCGTGTCTGAGCTTCACTGGGCGATGCTTCTCTGTTACCCATGCCCAAGCAGGTTTTTATCTACTAGGGGCGACCGTGCCTCAGGGAGTTGGGAATCGCATCTGTAACCGGAAGGTCGCCGGTTCAATCCCTGGACTCTCTGTCCTGGTCGTTGTGTCCTTGGGCAAGACACTTTACCCTACTGCCTACTGGTGTTGGCCAGAGGGGCCGATGGCGCGGTATGGCAGCCTGGCTTCTGTCAGTCTGCCTCCACCAGTGTGTGAATGTGAGAGTGAATGAATAGTGGTATTGTAAAGCGCTTTGGGTGCCTTGAAATCCAATCCATTACCACTGCGATGGTCGAGGAGGTGGAGCCGGGATGGACCTGGCAACCTCCTGATGGCGCCGCAGTTCTGAATGTGGATGCAGAGATGGACTGCTTTTCAGTGATTGATCAATAAATGCATTGAGCAGCAGATTTCCCCCCACTGTGACGCGTGTGGAGTTTGTAGCTGAATGTTGGGAGGAGGAGCAGCCTTTCCTCATGTATTTAAGGTGGAATTCCAGATGTCAGAGCTTATGTCGATCGAGTGGAATAAAGATTCCAACGCTTGCAAAAATAACCAGGTTTATCAAGCTGTTCCCGAACGCCTCGTCAGCGACCGTTTCCTCTGAGGCTGGACGGTAGCCCCACACACAGATTTGTATCAGGCTCTGCTGCCACCTGCTGGTAGCCGCAGGAACTGAGTCCTGCTGCGCCTCCCTCTGTGCGATAACTCGGCAAAGGATTGTGGGTAATGCAGTTTGAATCACCTGTAACAAGCTTCCAGTGAACAAGGAATCAGCCGGAGAACGGACTGTCCGAAGTATTTTAATGCAGGGGGACCTTTGAACTTTTACATTAAGTATGAACCAAATCAGAGTCTTTGAATTTAACAGTTTCAGGAAAAAAATAGAAGAGAATCACCTGAAACCATCAGAACCATAATGACCATTTCAGCAAGAAATATCCTCAGAGACACGTGAAGCATGTCCCTTCACATTAAAAGCACAAGAACATTCACGATCTCAATTGGAAAAGAAATTGCTTTGATTTTAACAGACATGGACCAATCACAGGGCTTCACTTTATTTAGGAAGGTGATGCACATCTGGAACAGCTGCTTTCAGTTTTTCAGGCTACTAAAGAACTGTTCCAGAACCTTCTCCACCTCGTCCTTGCTGTAATCTCGCACCACAAAGTTCTCGACGTCAGTGGCTCCTCGGATCATGGCCGACAGGACTGCACAGAAACAGGAAGTCAGCACGAAGCAGCCAACCAGGTTGAAGCGTGTCAATGAGGAAACAGGAAGTGCACTCACTTCGTCCTGACGATGGTCTAAACAGGCAGAAGATTTTTTTCTTCATATCGACGGCTCGACCGAGCTCGTAGCCAACACCCAGAGACGGCTGCGTCACCTCGGCAACAACCACTGAGATCAGAGGTCAGAAGTCACATGGGTCACTGGCTCAAATTCCGTGATCAATGATCAACAAAACGATTGGTTCTCACCATCAGATTGACGCAGCCAATCCAAGTCTCGGTTGTGAATGGCCTGGTCCCCGGACGCTGCATTGTTCTCTCCTGTCCAATCATAGTGCAGCAGTTCAGTGACATAACGCACACACGCACACACTCTTATTTTGAAGGTCAGAACCAGAAAACCAAACCTGAAATCGGATACAGTTAATGTGACTCCGCCCATTTTTGTGACGCAAATGCTTTTATTTCTGAAATTTTTTTATTTATTTTTTTACCTTGGAGGTCAGCAGGTGCTGGTGTGACCTCGCCCTCTCTGATGCTTCACGTTTGATAAAGCGCGTCACTCTGACTTTGGCTGTTACTTCCTGCACAGCTCGCTCTCCCTCTGTGTCCTCAGAGACCAGTTTACCATCAAAGCGCTGTTATTGTCAGGCACCAGTCTGCTGCTGTGTTCAGTGTCGGCCTCTGACATCACAGCCTCATTTCTCCTCTTCAATACTGAACAAATGTTTGCTCAGCTGTGTCTGTAACTTTGCTGTGCTTCACTTCAGCAGCATCAGGTAATGTTCACATGCTGATTCATGGTTTGCTTCAGTTTAATATTTTTGAGGTTATCTGCTATAAAAAGCCAAAGCAGGAAAATGTTCTCTATGTTTTTATCCTCAGTTACTTTGACAGGAAGGCCTCTGCTGTAATGCTCACACCTCTGATGAAGTCTCACAGCTTTGTTTTCATACACAGACATAAAACATGGAGATGTGCTGATAACTGATCAGAATTATGATATTTCTGACTGTCTCAGTTGGAATCGAATAGAATCAGAGAAATCGATTCCCAGCCTCTTCCACCATGTGAACGCGCACCGTTCTGACTGCCGGTGTTCTGGGAATCCATCCTCCCTGACAAACCATCCTACCCGTTTTTTCTACGCATGCGCACAACACGAACTTCAGTGGCGAACCGTCCTACCTTTGTAAATGTGACATACAAGCATACTTCAGCAGCTAGAATTAAGTGACAAATCGTCCTACCTTTGTTCATATGAGCATATGAGTTTTCTGTGTGTGACCTCTGACCTCTGTCGCTGAGCTCGGCGCTGCTCACGTGCTCGGTCAATACGGTCCCGTAGCTCTGTAGCGCGTGCACGATCCTCCGGTACACGTGCACGTCGTCCCTCCCGCCGCGGATGCTGCCGCAGAAATAAACCTTCATCCCGTTTCTACTCAGACTCTACTGACGGTTCCCGCGCTGTCGCTATACGTCACCGGAAACAGGCGATCGTGCTCGGAGCTTGCGCCCTGAGCTCAGACTGACAGGGAGCTGAACGTCACGGAGGTGAAAGGCCAACAGCCCTCCTCCTCCTCATCGGGATCGCGTGCCTTCACGGGGTCTGACACCTGAGGGTCACCCCCACCTGTATCTATAACCACACACAGGTGTTTATTTCCACTGCTGTGATTGGCTGCTTAGACTCTGATTGGCTCAGACAGAGTTTAGGGTGAAATAAAATTTAAAAATCAAACTTATTCTTCTGTGGTTTAGTCCTGACAAACTTCCTGTCGTTTCAAAATAAGGCATTTCAAAGCACAACATCAACTGTCAAAGGTCTCTGACACACTAAAAGTGTTTCCACTAACAGGTATTTTACAGCTGGTTTCCGATTCTCCCTCCCTGTATTCCCGCCTGGATGTTTTTCCAGTTTGGAGGCTTCAGATTTTTGCAGTTTGCAAACAAAGTTCCTCCGATTCTGTCGCACTGTCAGAAACAGCTGTTGCTGTCCTGCACAGTAATTCATAAACACAGATATTATTTGATGGATTTGGCTCCTGGCGTTGTTTACAGGTGCTGTCAGCCTGCCAGTAGATCACCTGTCGGGAGTTTTCTGGCACAGCTGTGGGGGAACATCTGCTTCCCTGCAGAGCTTTACTCCACAGAGAGGTGACCTCTGAACCCCTGCTGTTGTATTTGGAGTTATTGACTGTGTCACTATTGTGAAACAGCACTGGAGATCTTCAAGTATTTATTAAAGACAATCATTCATTGATACGACCCGAAAGAAGCGCCTCAACACATTTGAATCCACATCTTCAGGTTCGGGTTGATAACCAGAAGATTTGTGGTTTATCTTGGAAAGGTGCTTGTGTTGGATCAGACTGGATCAGTAGGACTCGTGTTCGGGGTTGTTGACGGCAGTGACTCACACTGAACATTTCTCTTCCATAAATATAAATGTGGGAAGCAGAAAACTGAAAATAACAAAATGCACTTTTGTTTATGATACAACTTCTTTTTGGAGTGAAAAAGAATCTGTTACTGTTCATGATGTTTCATATTTTTGTGCTGTTGCTGTAAATATTTGTGTCTGTTCTGAGTTTTAGTTATTAAATCGAGTAAACATCATGAATATCTTCACTTTAACACACATCATGTGACCTCTTTGTTTTTTTTTTATCTGAAGTAGACTCAGGTGAGTTTTCTGCTGACTTCCTGTTCACCTGTGACAACACACAGCTGTGAATGCATCAGAACATTACTCTGAAATACAGGCTTTCATTTTGGAAAAACTGACGTACAGGAAGTCTGAATTTGATGAAACCTTTATTATCCCATATGTACACGATCAATAAATCAAAAAGTGAAGGTCGGAGAAGAAACAACCCCTTTTCACTGGCAGCCTACAGGTTGATGTGCAAGAATGATTGATCACTCACACACACACACACACACACACACACACACACACACGCGCAGGTCTTTAAATTGAAGCGTTTAAGTTTCACAGACATAACAGAAACCCCCTCCCCTCAGTAGGCGCTCAGCAGCATCCCCGGGTTCCTAGCCGTGGCGTTGAGCATCACCTCGGGCACGTCTCTGGCCACCCGCTGCATGGGCGCCATGTTGTGTCCTTCCAGGGAGTCGAGCAGCCCTGAAACAAACACGGAGGAGAAAACACGAGTCAGCAGACACACCTGTGCAGAAGTAAGCATAAAAACCAGCGAGACAGAGCACGCCGTGCCGACCGAACCGCCCTGGACCGGCAGCAGGAGAACCACAAAGACCTGTCTCTGTGCTTCTGGTTCTGACCTTCTACGATGGTGTGGTAGTTGAAGTGCAGGTAGAGCAAAAAGAGCATGTGCAGCAGCCCCAGCATCCCGCAGAGGAGGAGCCGCGGCGTCTGACCCACAGTCCGAGAGAGCAGCGCCGCCACCTGCACGCGCGCGCGCACACACACACACACACACACAAACAGGTGAGCTCACACAGGGAGCGTGTCCTGGCACAGGGGCTGATGGGAAGCGACAAGCTCACCATGCGCAGTGTGGACAGGCCGCCGAGCAGCAGCCACAGCCCGTAGAACAGGAAGTGGAAGTGGATGTTGTAGGTGACGAGGAGGACGATGCAGGGACCAAACAGGCCGTAACCCTGGCAACGGGAGACAGGAGGTGAGGTCACATGACATCTTGTAGGAGGAGGAGGGCTGCATTCAGGTGCGGCTCAGAAACCTGAATCACATCTGAGCCAGCAAAAACACACCACCCTGTTCTGTGTGTGTGTGTGTGTGTGTGTGTGTGTGTGTGTGTCTGCAGTTCCAGGACTTACCAGCAGGGACAGCATCTGCAGCATGGTGATCTGAGCGTTGACCAGGTATGCCAGGAAGTAGATAAAGGCAGAGACGCCGAGCCAGTAACCGAAACACGTCCCGATAGCAGTGCCCATCAGTGTGCCCTCTCTCTGCAAATACACACACAGAGAACACTTTAACAGACAAAGAAACATGAACAGGGTGTGTGTGCATGTGTGTGTTCTTACGATGACAGTTCCTGAGGTCTTCATGCCGTGCAGCAGGATCGCCACCAGAGTGAACACCAGCATCAGCGGCCCGTACAGCTCGCCTGCGATCTTCTGCACAGGAAGCACACGCGTCAGAGGAACCTAAACCTGGATCTGAACATCACCTGTACAGGTGTGAATCTGACCATCGAACTGCAGTGAGACACGTTTGGACCCTTTATCAGCATCTCCACCACTAAGCTCCCTCACGAACATCAGCTCCAGCCTCCGGTCCAGCAGGAGGCGCTAAGCCTGCTCACTGACTGCCATTAACACTACGACAAAGAGACTCATGCATACCTGGGGGAAGTTGATCATGCGGACAGGTATCAGCGACTCGATCAACCTGCGGGGGAGTCAGCCATTAGCTGTTAGCACTAGTCTCAGCAGAAAGCAGGAAACAGCTGACAGGAAGGAAGTCTTACCTGTTGCGCACCTGTACCGGCTCTACGTCAAAGTATGGCCGCAGGATGTCGATGTTAGCGTACAGGTTGAAGGCTTTGGAGGCCTGACGCTTGCCCGCCTGCCACACCTGAACGCATCACACAGGTAAAACATTTCAGAGAAGAAGAAACGAGTTAGCGCTTTTCCACTAACACCTGCTCGGCTCGGCTTTTAGCCGTAGTACCTGGTACCAGGTAAAGTACCTTTAGTACCTGCTTGGCCAGGGTTCCAAGTGATCTGAGGTGATCCAAACATGTAACATCAACAGACTGCATCCCACCGATTGGCCGGTCAGTGGCTTCACTCGATGAGACATGAGAGCGACTCCTTTAGGAAAATCAAAACCGCCTTTTTTGAAACCCACAACAAGGAATGTGGCCACACAAACCAACACCGCGACGTCTGACTGAACGCCACAGAGCAGCGGGTGCACCATCGCCTCGACATCCTCCACTGTTGTGTCGTGTTTGTGTCACGTTAAAACGACGGCACAGGACTGTCGTCACCGCTGACGTCAAACGACTGAAGCCGAGCAGGTACTAGTGAAAAAAGCGGTAAGAGTGACGTCACTAAGTAACAACAGAGGCGTCCAGGGGCTGTTAGGGTTGATTTTTAAATAAAGCTGTTGTAATTATATTTATATACACACTGCAAATGTGCTCGTATGGGTTGGCACTCCTTTGAAGGTTGAAAGCTTCGTTCGGCGTGACTGTCCGGACTGATAAACTGTAGGAATGACGTCGACTGCAGAGGTTTGTTCGCAACACGCTTACACACAGATAATGGTTAGAATAAGTCTCTGGGTTCGAGCGTCCGAGCAAGATATTCTGAACCTGAACTTAGAGTCAGTAGAAGAACAATGGATAATAACATTAGATTATCAAGGCTGGGCAGGGAGGTGTTTTCCTTTTCTGTCTCGGACAGAGAAGCGAACAGATACCGGGCGATGGACGGGGAGGATTCGCCAGGAGACAGCACGACTGCCGCGTCTGTGTGGGAGCCATGATAACCTTTGTTTTTGTCTCACTATAGAAAGTTGTGCTGCCCGTTTGAGGGTTATCCTCTTGGTGAACCAGATGCTTGATTTCACACACAGATCCACAGCACTGTGTAAACTTGTAATTTCAGCTGCCAACACAAATTAAATCTTTTTAGCTGGCAGACCTTTCTCCTGAATTTCCTTCTGAAAATTTGAACACGGCAGAGCCGGTCTTTGTGTGGCACAGAGGAGCTTTAGCTGGACTCTGTAACAGCAGCTAACAGCTACAGAAGAAGAAAATGTTTGCAAGTGTTTGAGACCAGATAACCCCGCCTCACCTCGTCGGCCACCTGCCGGCCCAGCTGACCCTTTAACCCCTTCATGCCCAGGAACTCTCCGTCGTCGGCCACGTCATCCTCGGTGGCGGCAGCCTCTGCCGCGACCTCCTCCTCCTCCTTCATCCTCTGGTGCATCTCGCCCATGTCCTCAAAGCTCGAGCCCGACGTGTCGTCCATGTTCTCCATGTCGATGACCGCTGAGCCGCCGCCCTGAATGCAGGAAACACGAGAGTGAGGGAAGGAGACAGGAGAGGAAACACGGAGACGTATAAGGAGACAGGAGAGGAAACACGGGAGACGTATAAGGAGACAGGAGAGGAAACACGGGAGACGTATAAGGAGACAGGAGAGGAAACACGGGAGACGTATAAGGAGACAGGAGAGGAAACACGGGAGACGTATAAGGAGACAGGAGAGGAAACACTGGAGACGTATAAGGAGACAGGAGAGGAAACACGGGAGACGTATAAGGAGACAGGAGAGGAAACACGGGAGACGTATAAGGAGACAGGAGAGGAAACATGGGAGACATAAAAGGAGACCGGAGAGGAGTCTTACTGAGGTAGGGCTCGATCCGTTAAACCGACCAACAGTTTGTTAATCAGTTTATCAGAGGAGCTTCCAGCTGATTACAGCTGTTCAGTCGGCTGATCTCAGGTCAGCCTGGTGTTAGCCTGTTAGCTCTCGGGTCTCCTGTTACCATGTTAGCATGGTTTGATTCCTCACAGTGCTTTAACCTCGCGAGCTCACCTGTACGCTGTTTCGGGCTAACCTGCAGCGTCACTCAGGTGCTGTTACTTTTATAGGCCGGCTGGGATGCTCGTTAGCCTGTTAGCATGTAGCTCACCTGGATGAGATTATCGTCGAAGCTTCCCCATGGTTCCGTGTTCCTGCTCCCGGAGCCCGAAGACATTTTCCCCACAGCAGCAGCGGCTCTCCGTGGGGTGGAGTCTGTGTCCGTGGTTCGGTCGGTGGATCCGCGGATGGATCTTTTTCTTTTCCTGCTTCTAAAATCTGATGTTTTGGTCCGTAGAACGCCCCGCCCACCGGCTGACGCCACATCCCCAGTCGACGTGGAGGTCGAAGATATCGCGATATTTCCGTGAGAGTTTTTTCATTCATTTGATCATATCTGATTCATGTCCTGAGATTCCACTCAGGACAAATCGATGTTTTACAGACGCTCACCACTCCATTTCTTCTCTGACATGCAGATGATGTTTGTCGAGAACAAAGGGTTCCAGTTTGAAGCAAAACTGTAAAAAAAACATGTAGCAATCAGAAAAGATGAAGATACACATTTTAAATCTCAGTCAGGGAGAGATTGAATTCTTTCTCGTGTGACATTAAATCTGCTCTGAGTGGTCTGATGTTATTTTCTGATGGTTCACAGTCACACATCACTTCTGAGAGCTGATTAATGCCAAGTTGTCTTTAATCCTGGTCCAGTGAGCTCCAACAGCACGCTTATTTATGTGTCTTTTTAAAGATTTGGAAACATATCTTGATGCTCAATCATCCAGGTAAGCAATTCCCAAAAAGTTGATTCTGTTCATCTCAGTTGATACTCCTGACACATACGGGATCACTACAGCTTTTCTTTATGTGATGTCCTCTGCTTCTCTGGCTGCTGTGTCTGATGGTGTTCGCTTCTGTTCACGTCCTGATCACACTCAGCTTATGCTCCAGTGGATGATCAATTCAATTCAATTTTATTTATATAGCGCCAAATCACAACATAAGTCGCCTCAAGGTGATGAGAGTCAAACCTTAAATACTGATCTGTATGCGTAGGTTTCCAGTACACATAGTGTCCGGTTTACTGGGTGGGATCAAAAACACTTACTGGGTTTGAGGCTCTGTGTTGGTTTGGGTCTCCTGAGCGAGCAGAGACTTGTCAGACGTTTTCTTTTTAACTTAAACCTGCAACTGCTTCATGACTTTGAGCATGTTTGTCTTCTCTGTCTCAAAATGAACCCAACAGGTCTAAAGTCAAATATAGAAGGTCAAACATGTTGAAAGTTAATTGTAGAACAGGATAATAGTTTTAATATGTGTAACCAGTGTGATTCTGCGTTGTGTCTGATACAAAAGGTAAAAGAAAGAAAGACCTCCAAGTAAATAATTTGCCCACTCCAGCTCCTCCAACCAAATACAAACAGTGGGGAAGAGGGTTAGCTCAACCCACCACAACTTCCAAGCTAGCAAGGAGTATATATTCATGCTAGTATTTATGGCGCCTAAAACACATTTATGATACACACATACTACACATTTATAACATCTAACAAAAACAGGCTTAATAATGACAATAATTGAACTAAAATCGCAATCAGAAACATCCAGGTGGCTAAATATGCATTAGAATCAGAATCAGAATACTTTATTCATCCCGAGGGAAATCAGGGTTACAGCAGGCAGCACGCTAATGGCGCATGTGCACTTACAAAGGAACCTTCTGACCAACTTTACACAAACATCACATTGGGCAGACATGTCAGAGAGGTCAGCTGATAGGAAAAAAACAACGAAAATACACTACATGAGGTAAGAGGAGGAGAAAAAAAAACTCCACTCAGACTGAGCTCCTAGTGGGAGAACAGTTTGATAACAGAAAAAACACCTCAGCACAAAAAGCACATGACTATCAACACACCATAGAAACACAAGACAAGCAACAGGGGCGGGTAAAGGGTGAGAGAGCCGGTGTAGGCAGCGCATCCGGTCCTGCAGCATCTGTGCTGGTCCAGTCGACCGCCATCTTTCCCAGGAGGAGACAAGCATCGAAGGCGTTTGGAAAGGGAGGGGGGATGAGTGTGTATCAGTGTAAGTGTATGTGTGTGCGTGTCCATAGTTCAGCTGAGACAGTGCCCTTCGGCCTATCAGGCTAAGTAAACAGTCCTCCAGCCAATCCAGGTGTCCTTGCATGGGATGGGAAGAATAGCCGTAACACAGTCGTTATCAGGGAGTGATTGTTCGGCTCCAGCCTTGGGCCTGCAGCTGGCGCCGTGATGGGGATCCGCAATGTTTATGTTGGTTTTGTTAATTTCCATGCGAGCAGCCCAGGAGAATTTTCAGGCTGCTCTTTAACAGTCCGACTGGTCTCTTGATCTCCCGTTGGAGAGCCGCGATCCTCCCCATGATGGTATCAAACTTCTGTTCCATGGTGTTATTGTTCTTTTGATTCTGAGACCTCACAACTGCAGTGATCCGTTCCGTGATGTTTTCCAACTGTCGCTCAAGGGTCTCATTCTGAGCAGGCCTCTCTCTGATGTTTCCCCTCATACGCTCAATGGTGTTGTTTTGAGCCTTCACAGCAGCTGCAAGCGTCTCCAAGGTGTTGACCATATTACGTTCGTTGTGAGAGGTCGCGCCTCGTTCCATTTCGATTCCAGCGGGCAGCCTTGTGGGGGTTTGAACAGCCAGTTCCGCTCTCTTATTTCTCCGATAAACCAGGGCTAAGCCAGCTCCAATCAGCATGAACCCTATCTTCAGCGTTATATGTGTGTTTTACAGTGTTGGGAAAGAAATTACACCCACCTCTCCCACAGGGGAATTGTAGAAAAGGGGAGAGGCAAAAGGGGTACATTGTATTTATAGGATTGCACCAAAGAAGAAGAAGAAAAGAATGAGGAGGGGCTCTAACTGATAATGAACATAACTACAGGCTTGGAGGTCCTAAAAGTCAGGTATAAAAGGAGCAGTTTGGGGGTTTAGAACACATTTTGTGTAATTATAACAATATGTGATTTATGACCCTGTTACATATGCTCAAATGTTATATCAGTGGTGTACAGGCAGCAGAAAGAATCAAGTCTGTGACTGAGTAGCTAAGTGCGGGGATAAGTCTGCTGAACGCTGCCTAAAACACAACAGAACACCAAGAAGTGTTGGCCCAAGGATCGGCCCCGGTAACAGGTACTTATTTAGACATTGGCCTTGAAATGTGAAAGAGAAATCAAAGACTATGCGATCTTTATTGTTGTGACTTATCACGTGATGAGAAATGTACCAGGCGTCTTTGCCATCGTCAATCCCCTCAGAGCTGAGTTTAGCCACATAACTAGCTTGCTCTAACTTTAAGATCTGATCTCTGTATGAACGGCTTTGTCAGGATCTGTGGCTAATCGAGATTCAGTATTGCAAAGTCGTGACATGACTGCAGATGGAGGGACATCCAAAAGACCTGCGCTTCAAGGCATTTTCTCAAAGTGGACCTTTTCCGATGTTAGTTCAGTACCTTTGGACTATAATGTCAGAGGGCTACAGTTACCGGCTGTGTCCTAGTCTCACCAGCAGGGGGCAGCCTCACGCTGCACGATAGTTTGCTATTTCTCGCGACACTTCTCCGCCCTCTGTGGTTCTTGTTCCTTGACGCGGTGGTGACATTGGCTTCATTTTCCGGACCGTTGTTCTGGCTGTCGTGTTGCCGAACCGAGCGGATCATTAATGATATCGAAAGGGAGAGTCCACGGTAAAGGTTCCAGGTGAGTGCGGCGACACGCGGAGCTCGGAGCGGCTCCCCGAGGAGCTGTTAGCCGTTAGCTCCTCGGTGATCCTTTAAACACGCAGTTAGAGTCTCAGCCCGAGAGAAGCTGGTTGATTGTGTGACTCTGATTAAACTGTGTTGTTGCCGCGGTTCGGTATAATTTCTGTCGAAGGTTAAAGGCGCCACATACGCTAGCCGCGTTAGCCGGAACACTGTAACCTCGTTCCGAAATGTTAAAAATAAACTCGGAGGGGTCAGAGGTCATCCTTTTTAATTTAATGTGTTAAAATGCTGCTCCGTTCGCTTGTTTTACTTTGTATGAAATTCGTTTTTACATAATATGTATTTCTGGGATCCACTCTGTAATTCGGCTTAACCCAAACACGCTGATGCTTACCAGTTGTTACAAAACGTCGTCCTAAAGTCACCCTGGAAGTACTTAATTTAACCAAAGAAGGTGCAACAGAGGGAAGAGTGTGTGCGGCTGTTGTGTCAGCTGTGCAGATTATTGCGCGGCACACAATATTCTCCGGACTTTGGCTGCGCTGTGTCACGCTGCCGGTGGTTAATATGTCACGGATATCAGCTGCACTCAGCGACCCCATCGTCGCTTTATCTCGGCCTTTGGAATGTGTTCAGCGGATCCGCCTCGGTGCCCCCGGCCGGCCCCTCCCTGCTCTGGACCCGAAGCGGGGGCCCCTCGCCAGCCCCTCGACTAGTGGTTACCCAGTGGTAAGACTGGGTTCTCTCTAAACCACGCCCTCGTAGAACTGTTCCTCCATTGGCTTAGCCTCCAAGCCTCCGCTCTGTAGCTTAATGTGTACGTGCCGGCCGGCAGGCAGTAATGGAGGGCTGTGGCTCCTCCTCCCGTGAGCTGTGGAGGAAAACACCAGAAACGCCGGCTCTGAGCGAGACTCCCTGCGGCTGAAACGGAGCTTTACCCCTGCAGTTTTACCGACACTGAGTCAGCATCAGGTAAAACCCCGCGGTTTACCGACTGTATTCCACTCTGCATGAGGCGGTGGTTATAAAACAGGAACCGAAAGAGACGGACTTGTGCTGCATTCGTAATTGACGGAGAAATTGTGTATTTTCTTATGAGTTGGTTCCTCGAGGCGCCCTTTAACTGCGTGTCAGTTTCATTTATGTGACAGGTGACGAAGAAAAGCTTCCCATGTTGACATTTTAGTTTTTTTTCTTATTCCTAAAGGAGCTGCTGAAAGCAGCAGGAGGCCCTGTTGGTGCTGGTAGAGTGCACGGAGAGCTGGTGTTGTATTTACAGCCTGCAGGAGCGCTGACACCACAAAATCAATCCCTATAATGCAGTCATTTTCATTTCACTGGTGACAGACTGTCAGTGTTCTGACTGCATTAACTGATCAATCAAGTCAGTACCTGCAGGTTCAGGCATGCGGTTGATTTACAGTAGAAGAAATGAGAGCGTGTGTGTGTGTGTGTGTGTGTGTGTGTGTGTGTGTGAGAGAAACTTCCTCAGGGGATTTATTTTTTCTGCAGACAAAGAAATAAATTCCAGCACTGCTCTAAAAATAGAGCTCGCTTCCTCAACCATCAGTCGTTATTGATGGTAAATATCAGGAACTAGTCGGTCTCGTTCATAGTTCTTTAGTTCACCTGCCAGGTCATAAATAAAGTCTGGATGTAACAGGTTCTATATCATAATGTCAGTCAGCTAAGCCCACAGGTGTTACACATTATTACACACACAGGCTTTGATCCGGCGTGTTTCCTTCAGCTTTTAATAAGTTATGTCAGTAACTGAGTTTCCATATGAAGTTCAGACGTGTTGTGAAGGAAAAGTTAACGCTGATGAGAAATGATCAGTACCAGCTGTTAGCCTGTGTTCTGCTGATCAGCTGATTATCACACAGGAAGTGGGTGAGAGTTGAGCTGGGGTCAAAGGTCACACAGTGAGGGTTATCAGCTGCAGACAAGCGTCTGTTTACAGCTGATACTAAGACACTGCTGCACCCTGAGACCCCACCCCCTCTAACAGCTGATTAACAGTTCACTGTGGAGGGTTTCTGCACATGCTCAGGAATGCATGTACTTTGTACTAATAATGCCAAACAGAGTATTCCTGTAAAGTACTTCATAGGGCTATTTAAAGTACTTTAGTACCTTTTTTGTGCCATGGACCGGTTTATATCTGACAATATTTTCACGGACCAGCCTTTAAGGTGTCGTGGATAAATACAACAAAATAAAGCCAGTACCGCTACCGAAAAAAGAAGATCATAACACACGGGAAAAGACCCAGGGACACCGAGTTAACGATAAAAACCAAACGACTCACGGACCAGCCCGGGGGTTGGAGACCACTGCTTTAGTGTCTTTCATTACTTCCGTGTGTGTGTGTGTGTGTGTGTGTGTGCGCGCGCTAGTGATGGGTTAATCTAATTGGTTTGTGGCGAGCCGCGACCCTCTGACCAATCATGGAACACAATGCTGCAGCGTCCACAAACAGCTGATTGAACAGGAGGAGCTTCTATGGAAAGCTTTACTGTTGTTGTGTGAGTGACTCAGAGGAGCCGCAGAGCTCGCTGTGTGACCGCGGCGGCTATTATTACCCCCTGAGGTCACGAGCGAGGAAGATGATGGTGTAGAAATAAAGCGAGGTCCTAAAGCGTGTAATCCTGAGAAGGGCTGGGCCATATCATACCATTCACGGTAATACCGGTGTAATGTTGGGCAACGACAAGAAAATGAAATTTGGGTAAAACGCACATGGCGGAAAAAGCATGGCGGCGAGAGCAGATCGTTGAATGAAACGATGAACCAGAACTGGTTTGTAAAAATGCTGCAGCTTCACTGGTGTGGAACTGGTTTAGCTTTCCTCCGTCAGATACACAACAAAGCACTATTTTTGGTAGCGCATGCTAGCGGGCCGTCGTTATTACCGTGTTGTTTGGAAAATACGGCGCACTTAAAATCATCCTTTGATTTTTCTGAAAGTCGACAGAGCCCCTTATAATCCCGTGTCCTTATGTATGAACTCTGGTTGTGTTTACTGACCTCGAAACGATTTTATGTGCACGGCGCTCGAAAATCTGTCAGATGTTTCAGTACGACTTTGCTGAGCTACGAACTCTTACATGTTTATATAACTTTAATGCAGATAAAAAACAGCTGCTTGTTTAAGTGGAAATACATTGATGTTTGTTTTGTACTAATAAAGTTGTGGAGTTGTATTTTGTCTCGTGTCGATTATATCGTCAGTTATATCGTTATCGCAAATTTTCAAATGTATGTCGTGATAAATATTTTTGGTCATATCGCCCTGCTCTAATCCTGAGCACACTTTAAAGTCAGTCGTCAATTTCAGTGAAATCACCGTGCTGTCTCCACTTCCTGTTTTCTGTCCAGGATGTCGCTGGAGGTGCTGGCGGTGAGTGGCCTGAAGCAGTGCCAGCAGGCCCAGGATCAGCTGGAGGATGCCATCGGTGCCGTGATGAAGGCGGAGCAGCAGCTGAGGGAGAATGCCAGAGAGGTGAGTGCCTCCTCTCTCTGAACAGGAAGTGCTTTAAGGCGTGATAACCCCAGTGTCACATGACCAGCGCAGTCAAGCCAAGGTATTTATTTTAAAGCAAGAACAGGAAGAGGCCCTTTCAGCAGATCAGATAGTAACGGCACAAATGTGTTCGACATGCCACGACACAGGAAATGCGTTGGCAGACTGAACCAAACGATTCCTGTTCAGTCGATCAATAAAGTTTGTGCCCAGCAAGTTGTGGATTAGAACAATTGATCAGTGATCAATAACTGAACTGCTGATAAGCTCACGTGAGTTTGTAAAATGTTTTCCTGCTGCGCTGCAGATGGGAGGAAGTGCAGGTCAGCTGATTCACAGGAAGCTCGTTGCTGAAACCTGGATCAGCCCACACGTTTTCTACCTGCTGTCCTGATCAGTGCGTTAGTTACCTGCCACCAAACGGAGCTGCTTGAAACTTTATTGACACTCAGATCATTTTACGGTGAAACACTTGTCCTGCTAAACTGCTGCGACCACTCAGCTGGCTCTGTGCCACGCCCCCTGTTTTTCATATCAAACCGTGAATCACTTGAGCTTTAAACACCTGAGGATTTACCTGTTGAGACCAACCAATTGCAGTTAGCCATCATCATCTTCATCACTGCTGACTCGGCAAGGCTGAAACCACCTGAAATCCTGCCTTTGTCTGCAGCTGAGCCACAGGTGAGGGAGAGGAAGAGGAGGGTCAGGGCGAGGTGGGTTATAAAGCCTGCAGAGGAGGTGAGAGGAGCTCAGAGGAGGTGAGAGCAGTGAAGTGCGACGTGCTGGACTTCATACTTTATCTCCAGGTAAAACTTCAGGCTCCGGCTCAGGTGTGCGTCCATGCTCGTTGGTTAGGGACTCACAGCTTCATTATCGGGGTTGGATTGATCTCAGCTCCGTGATGTTTTGTTTTTTTCTGTGAGATAAACTTTATTTAAACTGAGCAGAAACAACAGGACAGGCTGTTTTACTTTAACCTGTCAGCTGATCCACCTCCACAGGAAGGGGGAGCTCGCGCGTCCGTGTGAAAAAACTTTATTAACAAAAAGCTTTGTTTACGCTCTGATCACATGACTGTCCGCAGCGCTGCGAGGCTTCACGTTAGGACTGGGCAATATATCGAGTTTTTAAATGTATCGATATATTTTTATACGAGATATGACAATATCGTTTATATCGATATAGTCTATGTTACGTTATGACTATACTTGTGGAGCTGCAAGTTTGCCTCTTTGGTCCACTTTTGTCTCTACTCGGCCTCGCCTCTCCTTCACTGAACACAACTCCCCCATCGCTTCACCTGCAGGCAACGACAGGACGGACACGGCAGCTGCTCGGTAAGAAGAAAACATTTGGAGATTATTTTAGTGCTGTCAGCGTGACGTTAACGCCATAACTGCATTAACGGAGCAAATCTGTTACCGCGGATCGCCCTGTGCGTGGAGGCTGGACGGCGTTAACGAGCTAACCGGGCTAATGCGTTGACGCCTAAAATCCTTTAATTTTCTCAAAAATCGACAGTGTGCCTTATGTATGAATTCTGGTTGTGCTTACTGACCTCGAACAGATTTTATGTGCTACACGGCGCTCAGCAATCTGTCAAAAATGTTTTAGTACGACTTTGCTAAGCTACGGAGCCGCACTGCCTGATGGATTGTTGGAGCATTACGGCTGCGAGGAGCCTCGCGGAGTGATACGTACTCTGCTTGAGCGTAATGTTACCGTACTATGTGTGTATAAGGACCAAAGACGGCACCTGTTAAGAGACGTGGTTACGAAGCGGATTTCAAACTCAGGCTGTCGGTCGCGCAGCAGCTGTGAAATCTTTGTTATTGTGCTCGGCGTCTGTTAGTTTACATTTTGACTGCACAGTTGTGAGCTTTTTGTTATGCACAAAAACAACATTGTTTTATTTCATTTATGGAGAATTATTATTTAATAAATGCTGATCATTTATTTCTGAGTAATTTTTCATCTACACCTGCTCTGCAGGTTAATAAAAGTGCCTGTGTGACATCTGGGACACAGCTGTGACTAAGAACTCTTTTTGTTCTTACTTTGACTTTAAAAAAATATCGAGATGTATATCGTATATCACCATCCAACTAAAGAATATCGAGATATGAATTTTGGGTCATATCGCCCAGTCTTACTTCACGGCATTGTCGGTGTTTTAGATCGATCTGTCTGCTGGGGAGAAGGGGCGGAGCCTCACTGCTTCTCTGAAGGCTGAGCTCACGGTCACTGTGGGCATGGAGGACTCTGATTAGCCTGCAGCAGTTTAAACCTCAGCCTCAGGTGTCTTTGTTCACCTGTTTTTACTGTACAGCTATAAATCTGGACACACACACGCTGACCTATCACCTCAGAAATGACTCGCTCTGAGTCACTGTGTTTAACTTATCGTCAGTGGAGACTTCTGGTGAAATTTGCACTTAGAGGAGCAAACGTATCAGAGCCTGCAAGGTGAAGCTCGCACCAAGGACAACATTTAGTGAATTTGCAGTGAAGCGCAGCCGAGATCCCAGATTTCAGACCATAGAGACCATATCCTCCCTCCCCACCTGCAGGCATCACATGGTTTAAAATAAGTGTAAGATGCAGAAATGAGCGCCTGTTGGTTGTTTTTTTTGTTTTTCTCTGGAAGAATCTGTTTGGTTACTGAACATTTCACGTTTAGGTGTTGCTTAACACGTCTCACCTGTGCGTCCCCTCAGGTGCGCTCGGAGTTGCAGAGCTGCGTGAGCCGCCAGCAGGAGGCGCTGCGCTGCAGGGAGGTGTGGCTGCTGGGTCAGATTGAGCTGCTCGAACAAGTGAAGACGGAAACTCTGCAACAGCAGCTGCACCAGCTGCACCGGGTAACTGGGGGCGGGACCTGTTTACCTGTGTTGACTGTTTGTTTACCTGTCTGCTTACCTGTGCTGTGTCTGTGCTGCAGCTCCGAGGTCAGTTTGACGTGATCGCCTACCAGCTGCAGAGCTCCAGCAGCAACGACCTGAACAACCAGCTGACCAGCTGCATGGAGAAGTACGGGCGCACAAACACATGCACACACACAGCTTTGTGGGCGCGTTCACACCTGAGTGGTCTGATCCTTGCTGGTGCTCTCACCTGTTGGCGTAGCTGTCCCAGTCTGCACACCCTCAGTTAAGGCATGCAGTCAGGATTTCACTGTCTAATGTGATTACATCTGTGCTAAAGGCTGATGTAATCAGATTACTGACATACTGAGCTGGTTTTACCTGTAGACTCTCACCTGTAGGCATGTGTGTCAGGTGCGGTGCAGTCATGTGATCTTGTTGTCTTCTCCTGTGTGTGCAGGTTGTCCTCTCTGAGTCTCACTCCAGAGGAAACACCTGAGTTGAGTTTCCATGCCGACTCTCGCTCTCTGAAGCAGGCCATCACCTCATTTGGCAGCATCAACGCCCAGGTAACACACACACACACAGGTAACACACACACACACACACAGGTAACACACACACACAGGGATGGGTATTGTTTAGGTTTTATCCGATACCGGTGCCAAACCGGTACTTTTGAAACGGTGCCGGTGCTCAAACGGTGCTTAAAGAATGGAGAACACACAATTGGTCCAAAAACCTCTCATGTTCAGCTGGTTTTTGTAAAAAGATAACAATGTTATTAGCCTTTTCTGCAGCTATGGGGCATATATGGTATCACTCTTGGCTGGAAGCAGTGCTTAAACAATGGAAAAACACAAACTTTGTCCAAAATCCTCTCATGTTTAGCTGTTTTCCACTTTTTCTTTGGTCATTTTAGCCTTTTTGGCCAGGGTGAAGGGAGCATCTGCCATCAAACAAGAAGACAGCCGCATGTAGCTGTGATGGTGTTTGCTAGTTCACCTTACATGCATTAATGTAATAACGTGGTTAGCCTACTCAATGTAAATTACACACGAACAACATGAAGCTACTCACGCAGAGAAGAACGGCTGCTGCTGCATCATCATCCTCATCATTTCTGCTACACTGGCAGGGCTAGGGGCCAGGACTCTCCTCTTTAGGTTCTTGGGGGATGTTGCTAACTCCGGGTCCGATAACAGGCACCACACCCGCAGTAGATGTGCTCGGTGTGAGGTCTCGCAGCAAGCTATCAAATACGGCGCATTTCTCGGCTTTTAAAAAAAACGCTATGCGTCGCCAGGTGTTTCATCAGATTCGAGGTGTTACCTCCTTTGACAGTATCACAGTGTCAGCTTAAAGCACTTGTTGCTGCTGAGTTTGCATCTTTTGCTGTGAAGTACAGCCAGACTTTGACCGCTTCGCCTTGGGCATTTTTAATCTGTAGCTCTGCTCTAAAAGAACGTACGTACCTGGCCCCGCCTACTATCCTCGGAAACGTAAAATGATTGGCTAGAATCTAAAGTGTATCACAGCTCAGGGAAATAAAGCACCGAAATAAAGCACCGAAATGTGCGCTGCTTTTCGGTCTGGTTACTACCGTTTATGTCAGAACCGGTACCCATCCCTACACGTAACACACACACGTAACACACACACAGGTAACACACACACACACACACACACACGTAACACACACACAGGTAACACACACACAGGTAACACACACACTGTGTTAGTGGATGTTTCAGGTGTGTTCTCTCTCCTTCCTGTTTACAGCTTGTGGAGGGTATATCCTCTCAGAGCTCCACCCACCTGAGACCTCAGGTGCAGAGTTGTCCAATCACAGCGAAGAAGCAGGTAAGTTGCGTCCTGGTGGTGATGGCGATAGTGATGAAAGCAAGGTGATGCTGATTGCGTCTCCCTCTCAGCAGATGGCTGAGCCCTCCTCTCTGAGCAATTGGCTGCTAGAATCTCAACCCGCCAACAGCTTCGCTCCCATTGGCTATCAGTCTAGCACAGACCCGCAGGATTGGCTGCTGTCACAGAAGGAGAGTAAGGTGAGCGCTAAGGTGTGTTACCTGAGAACAGGCTCTGACCTCAGGCCGTGCCTCTCACCTGCTTTACTTCCTGTTTCTGTAACAGACTTCCTGTCCCGTGATGGCTTCCATGAACTTCATGAAAGCCTGGGGTCAGCTCAGGGACTTGGAGGCGTGGCTTATTCAAGACCACTCCCCCAACCGGGAGAGAAGCGTCAGCAGCTGTAGCTCCTCCTTCTCCATCGAGAAGATCGACGAAATGGAGCTGTCCGCCGCAGCTGAGGAGGAGGAGCTGAACGACTGGCTTGTTACCCCGCCTACTGCTGCCATGGAGACCATGTCGGACGCCGAACGTTGGCAGCGTGTCTTTAAGCCATTTGAGGAAAGCTGGTCAACCAATGATTGGCTGTCGCCAGTGAGCCGTTCAATCGGCGACTGCTCGTCGTGCTGTCAGACCATCAGCGCAGTGGAGATTGAAAACCTCGGCAAGCTCAAGTGCCTGAAGACCACGCCTACCTCAGGCACCACCTCGCCCACTTCTCCCGCCCCCGTGTCGATGCCAGCGTCTCTGGAGGTGTGGTTGCAGAAGACGCCGCCGACGCTGCAGACCTGCCGCGCCAATGAGCTCTGCTCCGCCTACTCGGCCTGCGTCTGCGAGGAGAACTGCGGCAAGGATGCGCTGAGCCGCTGGCTGCTGCAGCAGGAGGACCGCGACAAGAATGGCGTCCCCAAGAACACCCCGCCCACTGCCAAGGACGCCACGGCCACACCCTTCCACCGAGAGCAGGAACAGAAGGTAAGAGCCGATCAGAGTCAGCTCTGCTGTGACACTTCAGTAAGAATTAGGTGATTGATTAATTGATCAACTGATTGACAGGTTCAGGCCATCCTGGAGGCGTGGCTCCACCCCAGCACCGGCTCCACTCCCTCCAGCTCTCCTCTGCAGGCTTTCACCTCCTCGCTCTCCGGCTGGGTGGCAGCTGAGGAGGAGAAGGCGAGCCGGGAGGAGAACGGTTCCTCCTCGTCTCTCTTCCAGAGCCCCCTGGAGACGGACCTGTGGCTATTTCCACGGAAGAGCCCAGCGCCCGATTCCGCAGTGCCGCCCCAGGAGGAGGAGGAAGAGGACAAGTGGCTGCTGAGGAAGAGGAGTCAAGCTCAGGTGAGCACAGCTGGAGCTGAACACACACGTGGTTTGGTTGCTGCTCGCTTCCGGCTTCCTGACTGCTTCTTGTTTCCTCTTTAGGAACGCCTCGCTGTGGCGCTGCCCACCATGTGTGACTTGTTCTCTTGCATGAAGGTGGGCGGAGACAAAGAGAAGTGGCTGCACAGATCTCCCGTACAGGTGAGTCACCTGCACCGTGTGACGTGATGTGTATGTGGGTCTGTCTGGGTCTGCCTGTCTCACCTGTGTCTCCTGCAGATGTGATGATGATGACGACGATGATGCTTCTTCTTCTCTCCTGGAGTCACTTTATCGCTGATCAGCGCACACGATCTCATCTGTCTAACCGTCGTCGCTGACGCCTTTTTTTCCTTTCTGTGACATCATCATGCAGTGCCGCTACCCACCATTGATCGCCAGTCAGCAACAGCCTAAAGCCCCTTTCAGATGTAGCTGGCCCCGCCCTTTGATTAACGTGGCAGGAAGCAGGATGTAGGACTCTGAAAGGGGCCTCAGCAGTTTCATCAGGTGAAAGTTCATATGGCTACAGAGGGTGTGGTGAGACGTTTCAGCTTCTAATCAATAACCGATCAGTCACCAATCAATAATCAGCATTTAGAGCTGCGAGTGTTTCGCTTATTGTGGAAGAGATGAGGGGGCGGGACTATATGGAAGAGTGTGTGGGGTGTATTTTAAACATAAATTAGACTTTATTTTATAATACGACTGATGTCACTTCCTTTAACCACATTTTTGTTTTTCTAAAACCTGCTGACATCACAGAGACTCACTTCCTGTCTGGCCTGCAGGCTTCCATCCTGTAACGTGGTTTGTTGGCATAAGAGGGACTCGGTTTCCCAGAGTGCTTTGTTGGAAGAAGCTGTGCAGGCTGGTCACGTGACTCTGGTCAGCGATTGGTGCTTTCCATTGCAGCTCTCGTGTGAGGGGGCGGGCGTTATCACATATAGCTGTGGTGTCATCACTTTTTTTCCTGCTGTGATTCTCTACAGTAATAAAGTTTTCTGACATCATCACTGTGTCTGTGACATCACTGTAAGGTACCCGTAGTTTCCAGGTGTATCTGTGTTCAAACTGGCTGTGACACTGAGCCCAGCGCAGCGGTTTGACTTTGTGTTCGATGTTTCTTTAAACAGGACGGAGTAGGGCTGTGCCATATGACCAAAATCTCATATCCCGATGTAAGACATCTGTCGTCCTGACAACGATATAAATCACAAAAATGTAACATTTCCTGTAAATTCTGTGAATCTCGACTTGCGTGAAGTGTTTCCAGCTGGGCGTCATGTAGCTGGAGTCCAGTGTTTTAACTGATGCATGAAACGACACATTTTTAGACATAAGTTGTAACGGCGCCGTTTTCTTTGTGAGTTTTTATTACACGGCGTGCTGCGGGGAAAAGCCTGTTCTAACGTTTGAGTCTAAGCTTTATTTTTTTAGCACCTGGCGGCTCTTTTTTTAAATTCTCATCTGTAAATAATCTGCTCTTTCATGTGATTCAGTTTATTTTGAAAAGTCTCAACAGGATCTTGAGCTTTATTGTGAAAGGTTTATGTGGAACATAAACAAGCGGACACGCGATGCTGTTACCGTCGTTGTTGCTAACGACAACACATAAAAACAGGCGCTTGTCCGTCTGTAGTGTGGTTATATTAAATATAAGAGAAAGAGAGAACTTTAATAAATGAACACAGCCACTACAGTGACATCAGAACCATGAACAAATATGGCTGTAAACAGTTTATTTTGCGACACCACGAAACAAACGACAGCGTAAAATGAAACGATAGACGTTTTTATATCGTCATCCGATATATATCATTATATCGAACAGCCCTAGGACGGAGGCAGCGAGACACTCAGGTACACCTGAGAGAGGAACATGCACCTGTGTCAGCTGATCAGCTGGAACTGAAACCAGTTTGACTCGCCAAATGTCAGCTGACCTGTTCGACCTGAAACTTTTTTATACTCGGACGTGAACAGCTCGAGGCTCGGCAGGCTGCCGGGAGTTAATCGATCCAAATGCAGATCGATACTATCTCATCACAGTCAGCCAGGCTTTTAAATGAGTGAACTTTATTGACAGTAACAGCAGCTTTCACACAGGTGGGTCACGTGATTTAACAGGAAGCTAAATAGCAAACGTACAGAAAGGCAGTAATCAGAAAGGAAGGGTTGGAAATGAGGCTGGTTGCTGATGATAAACTTCCTGTTTACTGCTGCTGGTGAGGTCACACCCTTCATCAGGAGAACGCTGATAGGGACTGATGACATCACTTGAAGCTGGGGGCTACAAGGGACAGAGAAGCAGGGACTCGAATTAATAAAGTTTTTGAGTCCAAGGATGTGTGACCCCTGCGGCGCGTGACTTATTGACCTCTAACATCGCTATCAGTGGGCTGTGGGTGGTGCAGCGCCGACCTTCAACACTGAAGTGATTAAGAGGAGTTCAACGATGTTTGCAACAAGCACGTTTGTTTCAATAAAGTTTGCTCTGGTACAAACAGCTGTTAAATGTTCTGCTCGAGTTCAGAAACACGTTGCTGTCCAGAGCGCAGGTGTGCAACAGAACAAACAAACACCTCAGGGGGAGGGGAGACTGACTGGATAATAAATTTGAGCGGTGTTTCACAGTGACCTTTGACCTTCAGCTGAGTCCATACAGCTGTGTTTGTGTGTCCTTCAGGCTTATCGGGAAAACCCATCACTGAGGTCGGAATTAGCAGGGGTGGGTTATACAATCAGCAGCCATTGTCGACCACCCGAGGGGGCGTGGCCCATCTTGACCTCAGCAGCTGGTGGCCTTGTTCCTGTGCTGCCAGGATTAGTGCCTCGGTCTTTCAGTCCAGACACTGGCTGTGTTTTTCTGAGCTCACGTCTTTTTTTTCTTTTTCTTTTTTTTACTTTTTGGGGTTTTTTTCAGCTTCACTTCTCTATTTTCTCTATTTTCTGTCTCTTTCCTGTTTCAGTTTCAGGGTTTTTTTTATAGGTTTGATCAGCTGTTTGTGTGACGTTTCTCTCAAAACAACAAACCTTTATTAATGCTACACAAGTTAAAATGATGAAAGTTTCAGAGAAATTCACGAGCTGATCCATAAAAATGATGAAAGCTTGAAGCAGTAAAACTGCATGACGGTTGTTACGTGTGACAACATGAATTCAGATTGTTTTTGAGTGTTTGCAGCTTCAGACTTTTAAAGTAAACCTGAGCTTTAATCACAGATCAATAACATAAAACCGCATCAGCCGGGGCCAAAGAGGACAGGAAGTTCACACTGACAGGAAATGACGCTGCTGGTTTTGATGAGGGGGAACATATAGATGCATCTGGTCGATCGGTATGGATCAATAACAGCACTGATTCTTTAAGAGCAAACGGAGACAGAACCATCAGTCTAAGCAGACTCCCTCCTGCTCCTCCTGCTCCTCCTGAAGCTCCAGGGTTTGTGTCCCAGTGTGTTCCAGGAACTGGTCCCACCTCCTCCCATGTTCCGCTTCATGTCTTCATCACAGCTCTTGCTTTGGATCAGCTAACAGCAGGTTATGTTTCTCCTTCTGTTGAACTCTGAGCAGACACCGCCCCCTGGTGTTCCGATATCTATCTTCATCAGGTCAAAGTGCCTCTAGCTTTTGTTTTTTTATTTAAATTTTTATTCTGCTCATGTCTGTGAGGAGGAGAGGAAGTGACGCAGAAGTATCTGAGAAACGGGGAGGGACTTTAGATGAAGCTGCTTCAAAAAAACAACTTTATTGAACAAAAGAAGAAAGCACAAAAAGCAGTAGCTACGTCAGCAGCACAGAGATGACGTCAAATACAGAAGCTGAACACACACGGAGGAATAAAGTGAAGACAGCAGGACAGCAAACATAGAAACTACAGAGGAAGAACAATAAGGTTCTAACTCTTTATGAGTGTTGGTCTGGATCTCATCATCACAGTCAAATGTCTGTGAATATGAAACTGGGCCAAAAAAAGGTTTCTATAGTTGTCCTGTGGTTAGTACGGCATTAGTAATGAAGCCTCTCACTGACAGATCCTTGATGACTGAAACAGAAGTTTAATGAGTGTCCGAAAGTCTCCTTATATTTCAATCGCATCGCTATAATTGTTATTCAGAACCACACGTCTGTCCACCCCTCCCACATTCGTTAAGTATGCCTACTGCTGTACAGTTGAGCTGCTGTTAACTTCCATTAAAGTATATCCGGACATCACTCTCTGTGCCCCACTCTCTGACCGGAGTTTAAGTCCTGAGGGAGCTATCATCCCAGCATCCCAGAGATAACTCTCTAACAATGAGCCTCGTCTTTGGTTCGTCTGCAGTTAGAACGATACCTCATAAAATCATAAAATCAATGTGAAACTTCACAGGAAGCCAGTGTAAGTTAGCTAAAACTGGAGTAATATGATCATGCATTCTGGCACCCGATAAAAGGCATGCAGCAGCATAGGCACAACCTGGGGGAAGAAGTTCTGAAAAAGCAGAAGATTCCTCAGGACGAAGCCAGGTTTCAAATAAAGAAAATCCAGCCCCGATGAGAGGAAAAAGTCATTAAAAAAAAAAGTCTTGTTTGCCAGCGATCTAACATTTAGCAAAGCCATCCAGAGTATAGTCAGATTGTTGAAAGCTGGAACAGATCTCAGCAGGCGAAGATTGTTGTAGTTCACACCACCTCTGAAGAGCCGCACCCAGCTCCGAACAGGTGGGCACTCGGCCGGGGAGTCTAGGTGAGCACAGTGTCCAACAGGACTTATCCAGCAATGACAGGGCAGTCTATAGCAGAAGCGGCCCCAGAGAACATGAAAAGAAGATAGGGTATTTATAAATACGTGATAGCTGCTTGCATCAAGTGAGTGTAAGTAAGCCTTGAGGCGAACACGAATACCGCCCCGTTTACCCCGTCTCCTTTGGTGTTTCCTAGGTGGAAGGGTAGCTGGAAAGTGGCGTAAATGATCAGAGATATCCGTCTGAGTCGAGACAAAGTTCCCTGGTTGCCACTTGAAACCAGACGTTTGATGAGTCAATGGCTGGAGATTCAAAAGAGTTAGACAATCATAGGTAAGAAGTGCAAAGGCGTCAGGATAACACTGAGAAAATAGGATAGCAAACAGTAGACAAAGCTCGAGGAGACGGCTCGCCGAAAACACTGGCGCCATCTTGGCTGATAAGATGGGGCCTGATTATTTAAGACCTTGTATGTGAGGAGCAGGATTTTGAGTTCTGGATTTAACAGGAAGCCAAAGCAGGAGAAATCTGCTCTCTTTCTAGTCCCTGTCAGGACTCTTGCTGCAGCATTTTGGATCAGCTGAAGGCTTTTCAGGGAGTTTTTAGGACTTCCTGATAATAATGAATCACAGTCGTCCAGCCTGGAAGTAATAAATGCATGAACTAGTTTTTCAGCATTACCTCTGTTCTTTAACATTTTGAGAGAAACCAATTGAGTCTAATAACAGATTAAATGCCATGTTGAGGCTGTCATTTTTAGCATCTACATGGATGTTAAAATCACCCACAATAATTATTTTATCTGAGCTCAGAACTAAATCAGATATAAAGTCTGAGAAATCAGACAGAAACTCTGTGTAAGGCCCAGGTGGACGATAGATGATAACAAGTAAGACTGGTTTCTGAGTTTCACAGCTGGGGTGGACGAGGCGAAGCATCAGGCTTTCAAATGAATTAAAAGTCTGTCTGGGTCTTTGGTTGATTAATAGGCTGGTGTGAAAAATTGGTGCCAGATATAAATATAGTGAAATCTACCATTTTTACTTTGTCCCAGGACGGGAGCATTTTTTGAAGACTGCAAACTGGAGTAGAGGAAGAAACACATCCCTGGGAAAACTAAAAAATAATAAACACTCAGCACCTACCATCTGTGGCTTTTTGCCACGCTTCTTGGGACCACAGCGTTGCTTTTTTAGCCCTTTCTGTTGCTGCTGGGTTTCAAAAATGGTGGTTTTGATTTTCGTGAACGAAAGTCCCTCACGACCCATCGAGTGACTCCACCCACCAGCCAAACAGTGGCATGCAGTCTGATGACGTCACACTTTAGTACGTGCTTGGATCACTTAGGTAGGTCCTGAAAAAGTGCATACTACCAGGTACTATGACCTAATGGAAAACTGTGGCGGGCTAACAGCAGGTCCTAGCAGAAAGGTCCACCAGCGGCCATATCTCTCAAGCTCTGTTACATGATTCACACATCAGGCAGTGACATGCTCATTGGATTTAATCCTCTTCTCAACACAATACCTGTGATTTCTACATCCACGCACACCATCATTGTCTCTGTGTCACTCCAGGAAGTTATTAGATTGGCTAGCACTGAGACCACGTCATCAGAACTGAAGAGCTTGTTAGCTTTAGCACTAATGCTGGTCAGCATGTGGCTTCTTAGAGAGCAGAGGTTTGGAAGGAGCTACCGAGAGACGAGGGAATTCTTCTTCATTGCCCGTTCGAAGAGAGCTTAGTCCTGACCTGTCACAACTATGGTCTTCAAACATGGCTTTTTTCAGCAGTTTTTGACATTGTGGTTTCAGTTTGGGTCCTAAGTGATAAGAATAATAAAAAACAAAATAGATCCACTTAAAAAGTTGAGGTATGAAGAATGGAAGTGCAGCCCAATAACAGAAGAAAGCCCGTGAGCTCAGAGAACACAATACAAACATCCTTCTCCCTGCAGGTGTTCCCTTCCAGGAGTCTTACGTCACAGCAGACTCTGTACTTAAGCAGAAGTACTGATGTAACCGTTGTGTTCCTGCCTATAACACATATGTGGCACACACATACTACACATTTACAGCATCTAGCAAAAACATCCACAATGATGACAATATCTGAACTAAAAACAGAAACATCAGTGTGGCTAAATATACACAGCAAAAACTGGAGTGTTAAAATTTCAGGGTTAAAGATGTTAGAGTTGATTTCCACTCTCAAAGTGTCATTTTAACACATTCTGATTCAAATAGTGTTCAGTGTTGGAGTTATTAAACAGTGTTATTCAAGTCCAAGCAAATGAACTCTGAAGAGAGTTATTTAACTTGGAGGCCCCTGGGCTTCTGCCCAGGTAAACCCGTGGATCAATTAATAGTTTGCTCTGCCGGGCCGATTTTCCATGTGCTTCTGCTGGTTACACCGTGGTGGATGCCTGCCGTACTCATTGGAGTATTTTACACAAACGGTAAGTTATTCAAACTTATATAAAATTCACGGTATTCTATCGGCGCAGTGAGGTTTTCTTGATGTTTCTTGGTGTTCGGTTGCTGAAAACGAGCTTTAATAGAGGAGGAGATGTGTCGAAAATTCTATTTAGCCTCCAATGCTTTGCAAGCTCCTTTGACTACGATGACCTGGATGACTGAGAACCTTCACAGACTCCAATGCTAATGTTATAGTCTTTTTACTCGTGAGTGACGGTAGACACTGCACGTGGAAGCGCCGCGCCACGTTCAGCTTTTTCCCTGTTCACACAGACACGTCTTTCTCCACGCCAGTTCATGAGCGTTTTTGCTTCTCTGTTTATTCAGAGCAATTTTTTCACAATTGATAAGTAAATAACATCCCAAAATAATTGAAGAGAGCTTGTTTTAGTCACTCCTGCTTTTACTTTGACATCGTCAAAGGCTTTTACTTTGGAAGGCAAAATCAGAATGACTTGATATTGATATGGTATCACTGTGAAAAAGACTGTGGTTGGAAAGTGTTGATATAAAGTTCAAATAGTATTTGGAAATACGACTTTTGCTTTTAAGAGCATTATTAAGTCATTGAAAGAGTAGTTCAAAAATGAAGATTCACAGGGCTTTTACTTTGAAATCCAAAATAAGATGGCCTTGATAGTGACAGGGCACAATTAGGGTACAAGGCTGTGTCATATAGATCTAACATTAGAGTTTGTAAAAAAAAAAAAAAGCCTAAATTATATGTTATTATGTTCTTAACATATCTGTTAATTCACTCGAAGTTGGCTTTTATTTTGAAATCCGGTTTCCACATCCATTCCCGTAATACTTTGAATACACAGGGAACGTAAAACAAACTGGAGGCTGGCTTGACTGACAAGTGACAGATTCCAGGTAAGTTTGTGTGATGAGCTTCTTCTGTTCCCGGTGAAATACACCTGTACCTGTGGGAGCAGCGGAGCGGCTGAAGCTGCTCCGTCCTCCGTGGTGTTGCTGAGCCGAACCCACCACAGCACCGAGTGAACTGAAGCTCAGACACTAAATTCGATTAATTTTGAAGGGAGTCCGGTTTGGCAGGCACAGCTCGACCTGTCAGCGGTTTTTAGCCACAACTGTGTTTAAACTTTTGAACCTTTGAATCGGAGCATGCGGGTCTGCTCTTATCCAATCACTGTATTGATCCATCAGCACTGAGATCAATGCATTTGTTCTTCTGTGAGGGTGTACCACTGACAGATATATGCGCATGTGTACAGTGAAAGGTCTGTTTAAGTTGTTAAATGATGACAAACACCTGAGCTTCAGGTTTAAAGGATCATCCCTCAGTTTTTCCCGATACTGAAACAACTAGTGCTGAGTTTGTTTGCTGGTCCTTCTCTGAAGACTGAAACCTGCTGCTGCTGATGAGGAGCATTTGTTTCTGTGGTTAAAGTTCTGCTGCCGGGCGTGAGGAGGAGGCCACAGTTTAACCAAGCGATGAAGCATCTGTCCAAAAAGAGGAAGAGTCTTTATCCTGAGCTCATCTGCTGAGAAGGAATTTCTCCACCCAGTCAGTCTGTCTTCACTCACACACACACCCACACACACCTTTACAGGTGAATTTCCTGCCTGTGCTTCTGCTGGTTTACACAGTCAGTGCTCACTTTATTAGGACCATGTTGCAGTGAGTCTGAAAGTTTCATGGTTGTGTTTAATATTCTGAAGCTTTACTGACGCAGGAAGGCTGGCTGGATGGGGGGGGGATTCAAATGCCCCGGGGGAGATTTGAATCCAGGCCTCTGGAAACACCCTTTGACCATGTGACTGACCTACTCCACCTTTCAAGTTTAAAGTTCAGGTTTTCTCACAGCGGCGCGTTAATGTGGCGAGCATGCTCAGCTGTCAGGACATGCACACGCACTGAATACCAGAAATACCACATAGCTGACATATTTCACCCACCACGCTGTGACGTGCAGTCACTCTTCTTCACTGATGAAGACTCTGCAACACACTGAGTGCAGGATTCACGTAGCCTTCAGTCTGATTCATTCACTTTCCAAATCACAGCCACGATAGCTGTGAGTGCTTCGTGTTTATTTTTCTGTTACTGGAGCCAATCATGTGCTTTATTATCAGTCTGTTAATCAGCTGATCCTTCAGCCTGATTCACTGCATTCTTCTTCTTTTTCTCTGTTTCTTGTTATTCATGCATTCCACAGAGTGCCTTTGTCCTGTCTTCCTTCCCTCTCCCAAACTGGTCTGAGCCTGGCTCTGCTGGAGGTTTCTTCCTGTTAAAATTGAGGTTTTCCTTGCCACTGTCACAAAACTTCTTACTCATATGGTTGTTGAGAGTACAAAGACAGTACAGCATCTCAAGGTGACTGTTGTTGTGATTTGGAGCTTTGATTCGGAGCTGAATAAAACCAAGTTAAAACTGGTCCACATCAGAAGTGTACTCGAGCTGTCAGTCAGGAACATAATTCAAATAATAATTTATGACACAACTAAAGCCAAATGGAGTCCAATCACAGTAAAGGACTCTGACCTCCTGAGCAGATAAAGGCGTCCACTGGAGGAGCTCAGTTTGTGACTCAGAGATGTGTTAATGAATGTGAAACTGTGAGCCCGAGGCAGGCTGACACGGGCGTGATGTCATCGCTTGTGTCAGGTCTGCTTGTCATGGACGTTAAAAAGATGATGATGTCATTGATTGTTTGTGATTGATTACCTGTATCTGTTTTAACCCTCGTCAGCTCAAACATCGGTAAAACCTTTAGCCTGTCATCATGGCAACCAGTACCAAATGGGGGGCGGTAAAGGACCAGTTGACCAGAGGCCCCGCCACAGTCACTGACGGCAAGGTGGAGGCCAATCTGGAGAACGCTGACCCCGAGCTCTGCATCCGACTGCTGCAGGTAGGAAAGAAGCAGAACCTCAGGAGTCCTGCAGGGGAAGGAGAGGGCGTCTCACAGCTCTGACCGATGGTCACTCTGCCCCTCCAGGTTCCCACAGTGGTGAACTACTCGGGTCTGCAGCGGCGGCTGGAGGTGAGTAATCAGTCATGGATGGTGCAGTTCCTTGAACTACAGGGTTTGGACCTCCTGCTGGAGGCGCTGGAGGCTCTGTCGGGCCGCGGCTGCGCCCGCATCGCCGATGCTCTGCTGCAGCTCACCTGCGTCAGCTGTGTCCGGACCATCATGAACTCGTCCGCAGGGCTGCATTTCATCCTGGACAACGAGGGCTACATCAGGATGCTGGCTCAAGGTGGGTGGAGGACCAGAAAGTTAGAATGAAGCAGATCTGCCTTAAAACCACCTTAAAATCATATTTACACGCTACCCTGAGCAACAGGTAGACTCAGGTGGCTGTTCCAGCCTAAGCTAAGCAGGTAGCCGGTGTACCTGTGAGGTGAAGATGACGACTCAGAGTCATTACTTATGAAAGCGGTAACTCCACCTCCTCCTATATGCCCTCAGCTCTCGACACGTCCAATGTCATGGTGAAGATGCAGCTGTTCCAGCTGCTGGCTGCTCTTGCCGTCTTCGACCCTCGGGGACACCACCTCGTCTTCGATGCACTCGACAACTACAAGGTATGCTCATGTCCTCGTCCACTTCCTCCTCTCTCCTTATTTCCTTCCTGTCCTTCCTTTTTTCCCTTCCTTCTCGGTCTCCTCTGAGGTGATTTCATGAGATCAGTTTAAGTAATCTGAACTCTGCCTCACGATGGCAGTCAGGACAGTTGGCGCTCAGTCATATAAACAGTTAAATGTTGCTGTAGGTCCAGGTCACTTTCAGAGGCTCTCTTGGCTGATTTCATTTGTTTAGAGGGGCATGTTTACCTGCTTGATGGACAAACCAACAGATGTCGCATGAGCTGGATGGGGAGACATGAGCAGGCCATTTGGGTCGGTTTGAAAAGCTTTATCGGCATGACGTTAGCAAAAGGAAGTGCGAGTCAGTTTCACTTAGTTTCAAGGCTAACACAACAAGCAGAACAGCTCAAACTGAAAGCCACTGGCTGATTACCTAAGTCAGCAGATAGCTCACAAAGCTCCACCACAGCTCCTCGCTACCAGGTGAGAGCAACGACTACGTGGTCTGTGTACCATCAGGGCGTGACTGCAGATACACCACAACAAACAGCTGAGCCTCAGACGCTGCAGATCTTATCGTCCCCGCCCAGCCTGTTCTCACAGGCTCTGAACTTACAGCATGGAATCATGGGATACCACACGTCTGCACACACACACTCGTTTTATTATCTTAGTGAGGACATCTCATTGACATAACCCTTTCCCTAGCTGCTTACCCTAACCATCAAAAATGAATGCCTAACCCTAACCATAACCTAACTGTAACCCTGACACTAAAACCACATTTTGAGCCTCAGACACGTCTTCAAACTTGTGGGGATGGGCACTTTGTCCCCATAAGGGCTGTTGGTCCCCACAAGTATAGTGGCATGCCAATTTTCTGTCCTCACAAAGTTGTCTAAACATAACATGTACACACACGCACACACACAGCTATTAGGAGTGTTTAATCATCACACTTCAGTCAGACTGAAGCAGGAAGTTGTGTTTAATGAAGGTGTAAACGAACTGTGTCCGTCCTCTGACCTGTCACTTCCTGTGTCTGTATTCAGAGCCTGAAGAAGCAGCAGTATCGCTTCAGCGTGATCATGAATAAGCTTCACGCCACCAACAACATCCCCTACATGGTGACGCTGCTAAGTGTGGTCAACGTCCTCGTGCTGCAGGAGGAGGAGCTGAGGAGGAGGCACCGGGTGCGGCAGGAGTTCATCGGTAAAACGAACTGTTTATCACCACTCTGACATCACCCCTGACATCATCATCATGATGTCATTGCTGACATCACTGTTTTCATCATGTTGTAGGGTCTTTACCTCACAACAGAAAGACCTTGATGTGACTGTTGTTGTGATTTGGCGATGTATAAATAAAGTTGAATTAAACTGTTATCAGAGTTATGTGTAGGAGGAGCTTGATATCTGTCACAGTGTGACATCACATCCCTGTACGGAGGCTTTCCTGGAGTCAGGTCTCGCTGAGGGCTCGAGTGTCAGACCCTCAGAGGTCGTCATGGTGTGAGTGTGTCCTGCTGCTTGACCAAAATAAGAAGTGATATATATGTCTGTGATTTTTAGGTCTGCAGCTGCTGAACCTGCTCCCCAGGCTCAGGTACTGGCTTCATTCTCACTTTGCTTACATCAGTTATTAATCAATAATCAATCGTGTTTCCAATCAGTTTCCTGCCTGTGTGTGCAGGGAGACGCAGGACAAGGACCTGAACATCCAGTGTGACGTGTTTGAAGACTCTCTGTCGGAGGACATGGAGGAGATGGAGAGGCTGTACGGAGGGATTGATATGAGCAGCCACCAGCAGGTCTTCACAATGCTCTACACCATGGTAACCACAGTTTAAAGAGTGATGCGACTCAAGCTGGAACGTTTAAACCAATGTTTCCCAACCACTGTGCCGCGGCACAAAGGTGTGCCGTGGAAGATTATCTTATTCCACCCAATTGGTACTCTAAGCCCAGCGGTCCCCAACCCCCGGGCCTCGGACCGGTACCGGTCCGTGAGTCGTTTGGTACCGGGCCGCGAGAGTTGAGGCTCAGGTGTGAAATGTTTAGTTTTCAGGGTTTTTATCGGTTTTCAGCGTTATTTTGTTATCGTTTTTATCGTTAACTCGGTTTTCCTGGGTCTTTTCACGTGTGTTATGAATAAATCTTCTTTTTTCGGTACCGGTACTAGTTTTATTTTGTTGTATTTATCCGCGACACCTTAAAGGCCGGTCCGTGAAAATATTGTCGGGCATAAACCGGTCCGTGGCGCAAAAAAGGTTGGAGACCGCTGGTCTAAGCAATCGGCTTGAGTAATGGGCAGAACAATTACATTATCTTCCACTAGAGGGGAGTACAACTACCTGCTCTAATTAAATTGGTTGCCGACTGCCAGTAAAACAGAAGAACATGAAGAAGAAATTATATAATAGTCATGCTGTGAGTGAGACGACGCAGCACGTAATAGCAATAAATAAATATTTGAAAAGAAAAATAGTGAGTCTGACCTGGGTCCTTGAGAAAATTCCGACCCAGACGAAGGCCCTAGCATTAGTAGTGGTCAGAAGAAAGCAAAAAAAGGGTAGATTGGGGACAAACTTGTTAGTCCAATAATCACACAACTGGTATGTTAACTCCAACTTGAATGGTTGCCTTCTTTCGTTCCTCCACACAAGAAAAAACTGACACTCCAAAAACTCCTACTTCCCCTTCCCGCCTGCGCGTAGCCATGCCCCCCTTCACTGGACACTTGCGCAGTGGGACAGATACATCTAAACAAACTGAACCAATTCTGCTATACATGGTGCGCGGGGAAAAATTATCAATATGCTTTTTGTAAACATTTTTGTTTGGTAGTATGTTGTGTTATTTTTCTAACGTGAAATATGTACCGTGGCTCCAAAAGATTGGGAAACACTGGTTTAAACTACAGAACCCAACACTGCCACCTTCAGAGCGATTGGCGCAGCATCTGTGAAAGTGACACTGCTGGTAGTTCTCTTTTCAATGATAGCAAATAATAATAATGGATTGGATTTATATAGCGCTTTTCAAGGCACCCAAAGCGCTTTACAATGCCACTATTCATTCACTCTCACATTCACACACTGGTGGAGGCAGCTACAGTTGTAGCCACAGCTGCCCTGGGGCAGACTGACAGAAGCAGGCTGCCATATCGCGCCATCGGCCCCTCTGGCCAACACCAGTAGGCAAGTAGGGTAAAGTGTCTTGCCCAAGGACACAACACCAGGACAGAGAGCCCAGGGATCGAACCGGCGACCTTCCGGTTACAGATGCGATTCCCAACCCCTGAGCCACGGTCGCCCCCGCTATGTTCACACTGCAGTCGAAAGCGCATCAAATCAGTTTTTTTAATTTTTTATTATTATTATTATTATTATTTTTTTTTTTTTTTTGACCCTATGCGACCCATCTATCCGATCATGGTGTGACAGTGTGAACGGACAAATCCGATATTTTCAAATCCGATCTGGGTCACTTTCGTATGTGGTGCTGAATCCGATACATATCTGATGTTTCAGAAAGCGACTGCTGTTTGATGGTCACGTCGCATTAAATCCGTCTTTTACGTCACTGACACAAGACAGACGCCAATTATCAGCGCCGAGAAGCCCCGAGAAGACATCGCGAACGCTTCCTGGCCATCCAGTGTAGATGTTAGTGAAACTGTTGGGAAGACAACGTGAACATTTTATTTGTACTGTATAATCTGCAGATTTTGACAGAAATCTGCAACTATCCTTTGAAGCACCGCTCCTCTAAAACAGCAATAAGGATAATTATTAGGTTATCTACATTATTATGTAAATAACAAAATAACTTAAAGCAAAATTGGGAAACGTAAAGTCCGAAGTCTTTATATTAAGGGCCATCAGTCAAACAATACTGTTTGCTCTGGGTCTAAACAGAGCGCGTTGTGTGTGACGTCTTCTTTTGCGCATGCGGCCGCTTTGAGGGTTCACACTAGAGCGCGTTTGCTGTCGCATTTTATTTGTAGTGTGAACGAGCAGACAAAAAAATCGGATTTGATCAAAAAATTGGAATTGAGCATTAACACCTGCAGTGTGAACGTAGCCAAAATAACCTGTCCTGACCCTCTCTGCGTTCAGGTGTCCAGCCATCCATCCTCCGTGCAGCTGCTGTCCATCCTTCAGGCCTTGTTGCTGGTGGGTCCGGACAGAGCTGAGGTCTGGTGTGCTCTGGAGCTGCTGATGGATCGAGCCACCCTGCTGGCTCAGGATGGTAAGTATGAGGGTGCATCCAAACTTTGATCGTTCTCCTCTTCGGATGAGATCCACAAAGTCCTCGTGGGAACTGCAGGTGAGACAGGTCAGGTGATACAGGGATGGTGATGTCACAGCACACAATGCAATGCATTGCGGCGTGACGTCAACTCCAAAGCCCTATATAACCTGCCCAGACTTTGAACTGTCTCAGCTCTGATGTCACCTGGAGGAGAGGGGGGGAGTGGAGGTCCAGCACCAGGTAAGGGTGGGGGTGGAGGGAGGAGGAGCCATAGGCTTTGGAGTTGACGTCACGCCGCAATGCATTGTGGGAGCGCAGCTCCATTTTCGGGGTCTACGAATCAAAACAAACACACTGTGTTGGAACGACGACGACAAGAAACACGCTTAAAAGCAGCTCAAAAGAAAACGGACGGTATAGAGACCGATTGCGTCCAGAGGCGAAGCAGCGGTACTTGAAAAAAAATAGAGTGCATCGCAAATCTGGACCCATATGAAATACGGCAGTGGAGTAAAGACCCAGACGACTTACCGCCACTGTCCTACCCCGATATCTTCACGTATCTTGTTTGTGGAGTAAGCGCTTACACAGCGAACCAGTTTCGTAATTACAAGTCACTGGAGGCGCACATCCAATTTACAAATGGCTGGGTGCAAGATTTGGCTATTTTCAAGCCGCCAAACTCTGAGTACGTCGTCAAAGTAAGTCAGCTGGAGTGCACCGAGTGAAATAGCCATTTTCCACCCCCCACCATAATTAATGTTACACATTTATCATTTAACTGCTAAAATATCGTTATCATATTATATGCCCATAATTGTAAAGTACATGCAAATTAACACATTGATAATCGGGTAAATTATTAACGCCAATTTGTGTCCTTCCTGTCTCATTTCATTTATTGTCTTTACATCAACCAATCAAGTCACTCCATTCTATGTTTGATCGCAATTTCTATAACTTCCGAGACCACCAACGATGATATTATTCAGCTATAAAGTGTGATGTGAACATATTTAGAACTTACCGGAATGAAAATGTCTTGAGCACACCAGCTGATATCTGGAGACGTAACAGAACTTGATATCAGCTCGTCTCACGGCTGCTATCCAGGCTAGACGCCTTCGTTTGGTAATATCCGATACATGAGCTCCTTCATGTTGCTTCCAGGTTGGGAAAGCATAAAAAGACAATCCAAACTTATTCCCGTGCCGGTCGTAAGATCGAACATTGCAGCCGACCACACAGCAAGTACGAACCATGGCTATGCTTTCGCTCCTTACTTAGACCCCCAAAATGGCGGATCGGGCCAAAATCCTTTCCACGCCCACCCCCGTGACATCACGCTCCAAAGCCCTATAGCAGCTCCGCTCCTAATTCAAGCCACACCCCCTGCCCAACACTGCGGATGAAGAAGCTGAACTGGCAGAAACTTCCATCCAGACTGGTGTCAGGTGAGGCCTGGTGTTGGCCCAGGTCAGGTGCAGGATTCATCCAAGCTGACGTCACTCTGTGTCCACAGGCCACGAGTCTCTGTGGACGTCAACATCTTTGGACTCCATGGAGCCAGATTACTGCAGCATCGAGCACCTCTTCAGTCTCCCTCCGACTGAGACCAAGACCAGAACCAAGTCAAAGACGGAGCCCAAAGAGGTGCCGCAGCTTTCTCTGTCTTCACCTTACAGGTGTGGCGTTACACGTTTTACCTTTTTCACATCCACATGTTCAATTCTGTCCACAGGTGTCCTTCATCGACGCCAAGAAGAGCCTTAACCTCAACATCTTCCTCAAGCACTTCAAATGGTGACTGTTCTTTTTCTGAGTCTTGCAGCCAATAAAAACACCTGTGCTGTGACATCACCATCCCTGTATCACCTGACCTGTCTCACCTGCAGTTCCCACGAGGACTTTGTGGATCTCATCCGAAGAGGAGACCGATCAAAGTTTGATGTTGAGGCCCTGAAACAGTTCATCAAACTCCTCCCAGAGGTTTGAGGTTCCGGTGACGTCATCCCAACGCATGGCAGCCTAACGAGTAGCGCTCTCTCATATATGATTCGTTCACCCCGCGAAGTGTCAAAATTATTACCAATTTTTGATAGATAGTAGAGTTACAAGCGGGGTGAACATGGGGAAAAGAGACAAACAGAAAAGCTCAGCAGAAGAACGTGTAAACAAAGGGCCTACGGCAGCGGCATCGCCATCTCGACATGAAGTCAATGCTAGGGCCAATATGGATGAAGGCTCGGGCTTGACCATGATACTGGAAGCATTACGGGACTTTCGAAGAGAGTTCCAAGAATTTAAATCCGACTTGGTCAGAGCCAATAACAGGATAACCGAAGCAGAAACCCGCATTGCAAAGCTGGAAGACCGGGTCCAAAACGCGGAACAGGTGATGCTAAAGATGTTAAAAATTATCAACGAGCAAGAAAACAAAATTGTGGATCAGGAAAGCCGGGCCCAGCGAAAGAATCTGAGGCTGTATAATGTCCCTGAAGGAGTGGAGGGGTCTTCAATGACAGTTTTTGTGGAAAAAGTATTGACGGAATGCCTCGACCTCCCCCAGGGCACAGAGCTTGTATTGAGAGATCACACCGGGCCCTGGGAGCAGTGAGGAACCGAGAGGGAACCCCACGTTCGATATTGATTTGTTTTGCACGTTACAACACCAAGGAAGAAGTTTTGCGTAAAGCGTGGGCCAAGAGGACTGTTCTGTTGAACGGTCAGAAAATATATTTTGATCAGGATTATGCACCAGCTATTCTGCGAAAACGTAAAGGCTACGCTGAAGCTAAAAGAGCTCTGAAACAACAGAACATAAGGTTCCAGACTCCTATCCTGCTAAATTGAGGGTCTTCTATCAAGAGGGAACCGTGCTTTATGCGACGGCGGAGGAAGCAACCGCGGATATGCGGACAAGGGGATTCCAGATCGATAAAGTTGCCCCGAAGCAGACCTTAACGGAACAGCTGTCAAATTTGACGTGGGCGAAGATTGGAAAGTCGCAGCGGTGTGACTCGGAGGGACATAGAGAAAGTCCCAATTGTGAGCAGCTTCAGCTATCTAGAAGGTGCTCTCCCTCTACGACAGGAGACTAATGGAGATATATTGTGCGGCCGCAATGGGTGAGATAACAAATACTTTTCCCTTATTAGATGATTAAGATTGCAGAGAGACTGTGGAGAAATCTCTCTT